AATTTGCACTGCATTCAGTTGTCATTAATTAAAGAGAAGCTTGTCCAACTTGTTGAGTCAATGAAGAAATTTGTGGTTGATCAATAGGCCAAGCACAATGGACTGAGGGGGTTTATTTTTTATAAACATATCTGTGCATACAGCAATCAATGTTTAATCATCCCATGGGATTAACAGCTCCAGAAATCTATATTTCCCAGTCTTTAAGAGAACACAGTGTTTCTCAGCAGGAGGCAGGGAATAAATCCCCTTTCATTTGACAGCACGAGCGTTTTGTGCTGCAATAAAATCCTGCCACAATTACAGCCCTTTTTCTCTGATGTCAGGGAAATACATTTTGCTTTTCTGGTGGTTTTTTTTTTTGGTTTGTTTTTTTTTGCTTTTCAGCTTTAGGACCAGAGATTTCTAAATATTCAAAAGTAACCAAGAAAAAAAAAAGGAGTTTTCCCAGTGAAGCCTCTGGATTTATTAAGCCTGGATACGCTCTGCTCCATTAATTACAGCTCAGGCCCGTGACAATCTTAATAAATGCTCCAAAAACTGAGCTCATTTTTCCTCAGCGCCCCACAAATCCTCCCAAACCGTTGGAAAACCGTTGTTTCAAAGGAAATTTCCCACCCTGTGTGTCCTCCTTGTCTTTGAGAGGCAAAGGGCCTTTGATTAGAAAAAATTCTCGAGGCAAAGGGCTTGGATTTTTCCCCCTTCAAAAATTCCTTTTCCAGCAGCTCCTGGTTCTTCCTTAATACTTCTTAACATTAAGAATATTTCTTAATATTCCTTAATATTCCAGCTCTGGCCAGGTGAGTTGGAGGTGCAGAAGATGTTTCGGGGTTGTGTTCGCTGGTGGGTTTTCTCCACTGGTTTATGTCAAACAGCAAGGCCTCGACGTCAGGGGGAGGCTCTCCAGGGAATTTTAAGGAATTCAAGGATGAGGATTCGCCTCCTTCCCATCCAAGGAGCCCAAATCGATGCCCCAGATCTCCAAGGGGGAAGGGTTGGGTGGTTCTTGGTGCTTCCATGAGCGTTGGGAGTCTCCTCCTTGGAGCGTCTCCAGTTTGGGGCTGGGATTTTGCCCCACCCTGAGGCCTTTTAGGAATCAAAATCTTATTTTTAGGGGTGTCTTGGGCATTTCAGTGTGGCTGTTTATGTCTCAAAATCGTGGGTTGAAAATAAGCTGGAAAATCCTTGTTCCTCCAGCTGCTTCCAAAGTTCTCCAGCTCCATGGAGACCTGACCTTCCTTTTTGTTGAGTCAGCAAATAAATAAGATCAATTCTTTTAGTATTTTTCAGCTCAATTCCTACATTTAATTTCAATTATTTTAGTAATTTTCAGCTCAATTCCTATATTTATTTTAATTCCTCTTCATATTTTTCAGCTCAATTCCTACACTTAATTTCTCTTCTGATTTTTCAGCTCAATTCCTATATTTATTTTCAATTATTTTAGTACTTTTCAGCTCAATTCCTATATTTGTTTTCGATTATTTCAATATTTTTCAGCTCAATTTCTATATTTATTTTCATTTCTTTTCATACTTTTCAGCTGAATTCCTACATTTATTTTTAATTATTTTAATATTTTTCAGCTCAATTCCTACATTTATTTTCATTTATTTTAATATTCTTCAGCTCAATTCCTATATTTATTTTCAATTATTTTAATATTCTTCAGCTCAATTCCTATATTTATTTTCATTTCTTTTCATATTTTTCAGCTCAATTCCTACATTTATTTTCATTTATTTTAATATTCTTCAGCTCAATTCCTATATTTATTTTCAATTATTTTAGTATTTCTCAGCTCAATTCCTAAATTCCTCTTCATATTTTTCAGCTCAGTTCCTACATTTATTTTCGATTATTTTAATATTTTTCAGTTTAATTCCTACATTTATTTTCAATTATTTTAGTATTTCTCAGCTCAATTCCTACATTTATTTTTGATTATTTTAGTATTTTTCAGCTCAGTTCCTACATTTATTTTCATTTCTTTTCATATTTTTCAGCTCAATCCCTATATTTATTTTCAATTATTTTAATATTTTTTCATCTCTATCCCCACATTTATTTTCAATTATTTTAGTATTTTTCAGCTCAATTCCTACATTTATTTTCAATTATTTTTACATTTTTCAGCCAAGGGTGCAGTTGGTGTTTCACACCAGATTTGGGAATGTGCTGGAAAGGCTCCCTCAGGAATCTCCTGGAGTGATTCCTCCATGGATAACTTTATTTTCCAGGTGGAAAGAGAAGCTTGAAAGTGGAATGTGGCGAAAACTGGGTGGATATTTCCTTTATTTATTTATTTATTTATTCCACAGCGAGCTGAAAAATCAGGCAAAGGTTTGTTTTCTGTCCAAATAAGTGACAATTTTGTGATGTTCCTTTTTTTTTTGTGCTGAATTCCATTGGCAAAAAAAAAATAGGGATTAGAACAGAGCTGGTGTTGATTGCAAGGGAAAAAAAGAATGTGGGGAAAATCCCAATATCCAGGAGCGGCTTAGGAGGCAAAATACTGAAATTCCTGAGATTCCAGAATGAATTCTCATTCCTTACAATGAGCTGCTGTACAAATATTCCCAATTCCACCTTGTCTTTGGATAAACAACTGCAGGAACAGAGAGGCTTCAGCAAATAATTGCAATAATTAAGGATTAAAATTCACAATTCCCCAAACCAGCCATAAATTTGCATCGAATTCTGTCACTCTTTGAATTATTCCCCTTTTCTCCACCTCCCCAAACAGGAGCAATAGAGAAGCTCCAATTTTTTATCCGTTCTGAAAGCAAAATAATTTGATTTTTCCTTTCTGTTTCTGCCTCCTGAGCCACTCCTGGATATTGGGATTTCTCCGTAGGAAGCAACACCTTTTTATTTCCCTTGAAACCAACACCAGCTCTGTTCTAATCCCTGGGGGGTTTTTTTGCCATGGAAACCAGAAAAAAAAAACAACATAAAACATCACAAAATTTAATGAATAATTGTCCCCCGATATATGGGGACCTTGTGGAATTATGGAATTTTTAAGGTTGGAAAAGCCTTCCGAGACCACCAAGTGCAACTTCCAAGGCCACCAATGCCCCATGTCCCCAAATGCCACATCCACAGGGCTTTGAAATCCCTCCAGGGCTGGGAATTCCATCCCGGAAAACCCGTTCCAACGCTTGACAACCCTTTCCATAAAGAAATTTTCCCTCCTCAACCCCTCTGTACTCGTGTAAAATACTTCAAAGATCCAAATATTGCCACTTTTAATCCCACAAAAGGTGGGATTATTAATTATTAATCCCCACTAAGGCCAGTTTGCAGGGAAAGTTTGCTCGTTCCTTCTCGGTGAAATACGATGGATTTAGTTCTATTTCAGGGGGTATAAAATAAATGAAATAAATGAAATAAAACTTTTTCCATCCTTAATGAACTCTGGGTGGGTGAACACGCCCTGGGGAAGGAGTTGAGAGGCCTGACAGGTGGAGTGAGCCTTGTGGAAAATGTCATTTGAGCATCACTGCACCTGTACAGGTGCCTTGGGATGGCTGGTAAATATTTAATGATTTTTCCCTTTGTTTCCTGCACTTTAAGGCAGAGGAATATTGCAAAAATATTGCAAAACTATGGCAAAACCCAGTCACTCTGCTGCCAAAAAAGGGGGATGATTTCTGCTTATCTCTAAAGCTGATGGTAGAGACAGTGTGGCACTAATTAGATTGTTTTTCTCTTTTCATTTCTTGGTAAAGAGGCTCTGAAATAAGAGAAACTGCATTTGGATGTCGGGAAGTGAAGTTTATAAAGCCCCCCAAAAAATCTACGCTTTGCAATTTGTGACTTTGCTTTTTACTTTTTTTTTTTTTTGCTTTGACTTTCTTTGTCCCCTAAAATCCATCCACCTTTGAGACTACAAGGACTGCTGGATATTGGGATTTCTGCATAGGAAGCAACACCTTTTTATTTCTCTTGAAATCAGCACCAGCTCTGTTCTTATTCCTGGGGGTTTTTTTATGCATTAAGGTCATTAATGACTTATTTAATTCTCACTCATCACCAAAAGTGGTTGGAAATCAAACTGTCTCTCTGATTACTTTGAAAAACTCCTTGGCTCTAATGAGGAGGCACCTCCCAATCCACGAAATCGTGGCTTTCCCAGCCCAGAAAACGTATTTTCCTTTGATGTTGGCCAGTGTTGTTTTAAAGTCATGGAGGGAACAGGGCTACAAGTCCTGAGAGTCCATTTACCTGCTCAGGTTTGAAGGAATAACATTTGGGAGTGAGAAAATTCACCCTGGGGAAGCTGATGGGATGACCTGGAATGAGCAGCGATTTTGAGAGGAAACATAGAGGTTATTTAACACTTTTACAAGCAGGTTTTAAATGTAAGGGGCAGATTTTTGAAGAAATGGAGGGTTTAGTGAGTATTTAAAAATGCCCCAGCTTGTTCTGGAGTGTTTGAGTTGCCATCACAAACCAGGTGATGATCCCTTGTTGTCTCCCTTGTGTACTGAGTGTCTAAAATGCTCCTGAATTGGGTTAACTCTGTTTTTTTCCTGCTCCAAACCCCATCCCAGGGCCACTGGGCTGTGCCAGGATTGCTGCAGGATCCTCTCTGGGAGGAGAGGACAGGAGGATAAACTGGAGTCCCAATTTATAGTCTCATTTGTTCACTGTAGAAATGCTCAGGTGGGTTATTTCAGGAAATTAGGGAAACAAGTCCTGAGAGTCAATTTAACTGGTTGAGTTTGAAGGAATAACATTTGGGAGTGAGAAAACTCACCCTCAGGAATCTGATGGGATGACCTGGACTGAGCAACAGTTCTGAGGACAGGAGGAGTGGCCTCTGGAATAAAATAGATTCCCAGTTTATGGTCTCGTTTGTTTGTTACCAAAATGCTCAGGTGGGTTATTCAAAGGAGGTTCTTGGTCTTGTTGTATCTCCAGTCCTTCTGGGTGGTTTCTACTCATTTCTGAGGTGAAGCCAGAACCTGTCCCAAATCTCTCTGACGCTGGAATTCTCCTTTTGTTTTTTTAGGCTGGCCAGCAGCGTTGGTGGGAGCAGGAAATCACCGTGAATGGGAACATCCAGAAGGGAGAACTGATCACCTACAACCTCACCGAGCTCATCAAGCCCGAGGCCTACGAAGTCAGGCTGACCCCCATCACCAGATTTGGGGAGGGGGACTCCACGATTCGGGTCATCAAATACAGTGGTAAGAACTTGGAGTGCCAGGAAATGTTTTATTGGCGTGTTCTGGGTCTGCTGGGCGGGGTCTGAACATTCCCAATCCTGAAATAATCCATCAAAACAATCATCCGGGAAGGAGGAGCCGGGCAGAAATTAAAGCCTTCACCACTGGGAAGGTTCATAACAACAAAAAGCAAACAAAAAAAGCAAACAACAAAAAACAACAAAAAAAAAAAATCTGAACAGACCAAATTCAAAATCATCTCCAATTTCTTTGTGAAATAAAGGAAAAAATAGAAAAAAGGAAATAAAGGAAAAAATCTCCGTTCGTTTCTAATAGCTCATTTCCAGTCGGTTCTTGCTTGGAGCTCTTTGAAGGACAACAAGTTTTGAAGAAAAAATCCACAAACAAATAGTCTGAAGGTGTCAAAACAGTGCTGTGATATCAAAATGCCTCTTTTTCCCCCCTCAGAATGAGCACTGTGGAGAAGGTTTTATTTTCACGTGCATTATTTTCACATGAATTATTTTCTTGTGAATCATTTTCTTTTAAGAAGGTGGCTGTTTCTAGTCCCATGCAGGTTTATGCAATGTATAAATTTCTATAATATATGACACAAAGGGCATTTGCACATTTTCCTCTGAAAGGTTACAAATCACAAAGATTTGTCCACTTGATCCTAACAAGAAAAGGGGAGTTTCTGGACATCCTTCCATGCATTCTCCCAGTATTCCCAGGAATTAATTCCTCTGGTAAACCCCTCAAAACACCTTTGTCGGGGTATTTATTTAATGAATAACTGACTCTTTTCTTTGGTTTGTTTTTCTGCTGTAAAAAGTGCACTGAAGGGCAGGAGGTACCTTGGAGAGGAGGTTGGAACTGGATGGGCTTTAAGGTCCCTTCCAACCCAAACCATTCTAGGATTCTTTCATGAGGAATGTTGCCAATCCCACAGGGAAAAAGCCATGTGGACACAGGCCAAGTGTAGCTCCAGGTGCTCCAGGAGCTGGATCCAGCACTAATTAGTGCTCACAGAGAGCCCAAAGCAGGACATCCCACTCAGCAAAAGAAAAACCAACCTACACATCAAGACTTGCTTTCCAAAATCATTATTGGACAAAGGTGTGAACGAATCTTAAAAAAAACTAAATATCTGGTGCATCCCTTGTGCAATTCTTCATGGGCAGTGATGAGCTCAGCCCTCCTCAATCTCATCAGCAATTAGTTTTATCACTGGTTTAATGTCAAGGGGGAAAAAAATCCCATTAAGGACCTCAAATCTCAGTTGTAAAGGCTGGAGGGGCCATTTCACCAAGTGCCACATCTGCTGCTGCTGGGGGTGGGTGAATCTTGGGTTCCACCTGCCAAAGGAAAGGGTTGGAAAAGTCTACATTTCCCAAAGCTCCTGAAGGCAAAATCCCAGCTAAACAAAAGGACTTGGAATAATAAACTCGTGGAATGGTTTGGGCTGGAAGAGACTTAAGGTTCATCTCATTCCACCCCCTGCCGTGGGCAGCGACACCTTCCACTAGCCCAGGTTGCTCCAAGCCCTGTCCAACCTGGCCTTGGACACTTCCAGGGATGGGAATAAACAGGATAAACAAGGATGACTTGTTTCTAGATCCATGACCACACAAATGAGAGAAAATGGAGATTCTGCTGCAATGCCTGTGGGACTTTGGCTCCTTGTTGGACTCTTTTGCCCTAATAAGTCCCTGTCTCCTGGCACTGGTAGGGGTGTGGTCTCTTTGCACACACACAAGGGGAAGACTCAGAGTCTTCCCAAAAGTCAGGAACTGAATCTTCATGCAGATATTTGGGGTTTCTCTGCAGCAAACCCAAATTCTCAGTGCTGGCTGTGATGGAGATGATTATATCCTCCCAACCAGCCACTGCCCTCTCCCATGGATCCCAAAAATTCCCCCCGTGACTTATGCACTGACCAGTGCTCCCATAAGGAGCAAAAACCCACCCTTTTGGTCCCTCAGTCCCTCCTGCTCTTTTTTGGCGGTGTCTGGATTTTGGCAACTCTCCGGAGGTCGATTGAGGTCCCGACTGAGCTGAGCTGGAGCTTTCACTGCAACATGATGTGATTCCCGTTTCCAGCCCCTGCCTGGCAGGAAGAACATTCCCATGGCAGCATGAAAGGAGTGTTTTGTCCCCTGCAAATGTTTCTCCTGCTCTCTGCCATCGGTGCAGATGTGAACAACACCCCGGTTCAAACGTGCCGAGGAGGTGCCAACACCAAACCCAGACACCCAGGAGGGGGGAAGAGGCTGCTTTTGGAGCAGCACTCAGGTCCTGACAAACTCCCAGCTTCACAAATCCTGAGCCAGACATTTATCAAAGAGCTAAACCTGCAGTGACTGCCCTTTGAAGAGGGATCCCAGAGCCACTGGGGCTTTGTGTGCTTAAAATCCCCGTTTTTCTCTCCCCGAGTGGTGCCAGCAAACTATTACCGGGCTGGTTTATGGGTGTTAGAGCTCCAACTGGAAAATAATGATCTCACACACCTTGTCACGGTGCAAATCCAGTGCTTATCAACTGCAAAGCTGGAATGTTAAAGGAGCAGTTAATGGTCTGGTGGGATGCCCAGCACCCGACCTGCAGCAGCCTGAGGAGTCATTCTGTACAACACCCAGGGAATAAAAGGCATCAGGAGAACGTTCCTGAAAAGAATTAAAACATTTTTTTACATTTTTCTCCCATTATCCACTTTTTTTTAAGTTGTGAGACCTCAGGCAAGGAGGGAAACGTTTGCATTTTCCTGTGTTCAGTGGGATTTGGGGCGAGTTTGTCCCCGTGTGTTCAGTTTGGAGCAGCCCTGCAGAACTGGCCTCCAGCGGTGTCAGCTCTTCTTCCTCACCCCACCCCGTCAGGAATACCCTTTTTGGAGAACCAGGACCCAGGGAATTGTCACAGAATCCTAGAATCCACTGGGTTGGAAAGGTTTTAATGACCATCCTGTTCCAAACCTCTGCCCACCTTCCACTAACCCAGGTTGTTCCAAGCTCCAGGGATGTCCTTTCTCCAAGGATGGAGACTTCCCAACCTCTCTGTGCAGCCTTTTTGGTGCTCCATCACCCTCAGAGGGAGAAAGTTCATTTTTTAGGTTTGAAATGCTGATAGATTCATATTTTTTGAGGATTCCCACCGCAAACAATTTTTGCCTTGTTTTTTTTCGGAACTCTCGGCAGCCTAATAGGATTTCACCCCATCCTAAAGAAATGCAGCCAGTGTGACAAGCAGATCAGACACTCTGTGGTGAAAGCTGCTAAAAATGGGGCTTTTTGCATTGAAGGAATGCATTAACTTTCCCAGCCCAGTCTGATTTTTCGAGCAAATTGAGGATAAATGGACCGTGCACTGCCCGGGTTTCACTTGGACAGCTTAAGCTGGGTTTTTTTAGGAGGACAACCTCGAGTTGGTACCAGGCAGGAGTGATTTCTGTAGGATGATTGTGAAGCGTGGAAGGATCAACAGCACATTTCTGGAGCGTTCATTGTGTTTGCTGCTTATTCAAGAGGAAAAAGCTTCTCTAGGTTTTTTTCCACCCTCTGGACATGCCCATGTCCCTCCAGTGGCTTTAAAACTGCTCCAGTAACACTTTAAGATGAGATGTCTTAACTTTTAGACCGTTTAAGTAAAGCCACATTAATCCTATTCGTGAGTTCAGGTTTATTGGGTCGCACACCTTTGGATGCAAAATTGTCCTTAAAATTTGAAAATTACCCTGGAAATGGCTAATATATAAAATAATACAGAAAAATAACAGCTCCCAATGTTGAATATCCAAAATAAGGAGACTATTAGAGCAGGAAGACCTCAGTAATTAGTTTTTTATGCATCTCCTGCCATCCCAAGCGGGAACTGTAAATACAAAATAAAACCTCTGCAGCTTCTGGTGCCACGAATCACAAACTTACCCGTGGCACAAGGATTTCCCAGGCAAATCCCTTGCCTGCCATGAATTATTCTCTGCTCTGCACATGGAAGGACAGGAGAAAAGAGCAATTCTCACAGTGGGAGTGACATTGATAATCCCAGCCAAACATCACTTGGCAGATTCTTCAGGAGCTCCGTGTGTGACTGTGCTGGTGAGCACAGTCTGGCAAGGAAATACAGACAGGGCAGCTGGAGGAGCTCTGATGAGTGTTTTGGAGGGTAATTCAAAGCAGAGATGGCTCAGAGGAACAGCAGGTACATCTTGGAGCAGCGGCTTCAACATTATCTCCATCGCTTTATGTAAATGTGTGTCAGCCTGTTTGATGGGAACTGGCTGTGAGATCCCATTAAAACTTCGGTGGGTGAGGTGAAAACACTAAAACTGATCATGGAATCATAGAATCATTCATAGAATCAGCTGAGTTGGAAGAGACCTCCAAGATCATCCAGTCCAAGCCTTGATCCAACCCCGCCGTGGTTCCCAGCCCATGGCACTGATGCCACATCCAGTCTGTCCTTAAACACCTCCAGGGACGGAGAATCCCCCCCTTCCCTGGGCAGCCCATTCCAAGGGCTCAGCACCCTCTCTGCAAAGAAATTCTTCCTGATCTCCAACCTCCCCCTCCCCTGGCCCAGCTGCAGACCCAGCCCTCTTGTCTTGCTGAGAGTTGCCTGGGAAAAGAGACCAACCCCCCCCGGCTCCCCCCTCCTGGCAGGGAGTTGCAGAGAGTGAGGAGGTCTCCCCTGAGCCTCCTCTTCTCCAGGCTGAGCCCCCCCAGCTCCCTCAGCCTCTCCTCCCAGCACTTGTGCTCCAGTCCCTTCCCCAGCCTCGTTGCTCTCCTCTGGCCCTGCTCCAGCCCCTCCAGGGCCTTCCTGAGCTGAGGGCCCAGAACTGGACACAGCACTCCAGGGGTGGCCTCCCCAGCGCTGAGTCCAGGGCAGGAATCCCTTCCCTGGCCCTGTTGGCCACCCTGTTCCTGAGCCAGGCCAGGCTCCATTGGCCCTCTTGTCCCCCTGGGCACACTGGGGCTCCTGTTCAGCTCCCTGTCCATCCCCACTCCCAGCTCCCTTCCTGCCTGGCTGCTCTCCAGCCCCTCTGGCCCAGCCTGGAGCTGCTGGGGGTTGTTGTGGCCAAAGGGCAGGACCCGGCCCTTGGCCTGCTTGAACCTCATCCCCTTGGAATCAGCCCAACTCTCCAACCTATCCAAGCCTATCTCCAGCCATGATGTTTTTTGATGTGCACTTAAATATTTTTAAAGTTAACAAGTGATTAAAGAGGTCGTGTAAACTCCTTTATGTTAATAATAGTTAATTTTAAATTTTAAAAAAAGTCAATAATAGTAATGTTAATACTTGAATGGGATGTAGAGTTGGCCTCTTGTAACAGCAGCTGGTAGATCATGGGGTCATGGAATATCCTGAGTGGGAAGGGACCCCCAAGGCCCATCCATTCCAACCCTCAGCCCTGCCCAGGCCCAGCCCCAACAATCCCCCCCTGTGCCCCAGAGGATCATCCAAACCCTCCTGGAGCTCTGGCAGCCTTGGGGCCGTGCCCACTGCCCTGGGGAGCCTGGGCAGTGCCAACCACCCTCTGGGGGAAGAACCTTTCCCTGAGATCCACCCTGACCCTGCCCTGGCACAGCTCCAGCCCTTCCCTGGTTCCTGTCCCTGCTCACAGAGAGAACAGATGGATGATGATGATGATTTGCACCCACAGCTGGTGGTGACCAGTTGCTTTGTGGTCCAGCTCACTTGTTTTTACATGAGGTTTAATCACTACCCAGATTCTGTATGAAAAAAAAGTATATATTTGTGGTTATGACTGACTGCTGTAATTATTATTATTACTGTTGTTGTTGTTGTTGTTATTGTTATTATTTTATTCGTAGTACCATATTTCTAGCCCCAGAAAAATAAACTGGTGCCAAACAGTGCATAAATGACAATATTTATAACTTTACACTGACACTCATTGCCAGTGTGATCCAGTATTATCAAAAGTAAGTGAGAATAATTGCTATAGTGGGAGGAAATCAGCCTTGTCCATGTAAAGCCCCGATATTTGCAGATAATGTTGCTTTTCATGTAGACTCAGATCTTGATTAAAGATTTAGCTGCTGGTTGTAATTACCACAATCAAGCAGTTTGCAGGGGTTACAAAGCAGAGCAGCTGAACCCCTCCCTTGTTTCCACTCACCTCTTTATCCCAGAAGGCTTTGGGTTGGGAAGGATCTTAAAGCCCATCTTATCCCACCCCCTGCCAAGGGGGAAGGGACCAACAGGAAATTTGGGATAATCTGCATCTCGAGCAATCAGATTTTCTTTTTTCTTTGTGCTAATTTTATTTTTTGCTTTGTTTTCCAGCTCCAGTGAATCCTCACCTACGTGAGTATTTATTAATTTACCTTTTTATCTTTTGTGTGTGTGAAGAGCTGTCCTTGCATTTGTTGTCCCTCGCAGTAAAAAAGTAAATTATAAGTATTTCCCTTTCCATTGCATCCCACATCCTCTTTCCCAGCATATTCTGCCAAGAGTCTTCATTTTAATAAGACAAAATGTGCCAAAATTTTATTTATTTATGTTTTATTTATTAATTTCTTGTGAAAAGGGGGTAGGGGAGAGCCACCAAAAGAGGCCGGCGGGGAAGGGGGGGGGCGGGCGCCCAAAAAGAGCCGGGCGGAGAAGTGGGGTCAGGGCGCCCCAAAAAGAGGCCGGCGGTGGAAAGGTTGGGCGCAGGCCGCCAAAAGAGGCCGGCGGAGAAAGGGGGGGCGCGGGCCCAAAAGAGGCCGGCGTAGGAAAGGGGGGCGCAGGCGCCCAAAAAGAGCCGCGGCGGAAAGGGGGGACAGCGCCCAAAAAGAGGCTCGGCGGAGAAAGGGGGGCGCAAGTCCGCCCAAAAAGAGTCCTGCGGAGAGTGAAGGGGGCTGCAGGCGCCCACGAAAGAGGCCGGCGGAGGAAATGGGGGCTCAGTCTCCCAAAAATGTTCCTCCTTAGGAAATGGGATTCAATGTCCCAAAAATGTTCCTGCTTAGGAATTTGGGTTCAGTCTCCCATTATTCCTGTAGGGAAGCCCAGTGGGATCAGGATTGGGTTGTTTGAGCCTCTCTCTCCATCTCAGACTCAACAGCTGAGCCTTTCTGTAAATTTTAAACCTATTTGCAGAAGATCTTGTCCAGCACATTAATAATCAATCAGGGCTTAGCTGAAAGCTCCCAGGAGCTGGAGGAACCTCCCCCATGGACTTCAACAAGCAGTGGATGAGGCTCTTGTTAATTAACATATTGAAGATCTGCTCTGTGATGTTGAGAAGAAATGAGTTGCGATCCCAAGTGATTTTAAGATCTCAAACTGATTTTTAGGTTGTCTCTGTAGCTCTTGTAGGCTCGTGGTGGAGTGTGGGTGGCACCTGAATGGTTCTGGAAACAGGGAATGTGTGAGCTCAAGGGAGGGATGGGAAAGAGGGATGGGAAGGTTTGTCCACCCAAAGCATGGGGGACCCGGTGTCGCTTCTTCCAGATGACCAAAACCAGGGGAAAATTTGGCTTTGCTTGTTTTCCCCCAAAGATTTTTTTTTGAGTGGAATCCTTTACCAGGAAGGAAATCTTGGTCTGCACGTGGGTTCAAACCTGGGAGCTGCAGAACAGAGGTTCTGTCTCCCGTCTCTGTTCCCCCAGCACTGCCCAGGCCACCCCTGTCCCCAAGTGTCACATCCACAGGGCTGAATCCCACCAGGGCTGGGCACTCCAAACCTCCCTGGGCAGCCCCTGCCAAGGCCTCACCACCCTTTCCAGGCAGAAATTCCTCCTCCTGTCCCACCTGAGCCTCCCCTGGCACAGCTGGAGGCCGTTCCCTCTCCTCCTGTCCCTTGTTCCCTGGGACCAGAGCCCGACCCCCCCCGGCTCCCCCCTCCTGTCAGGGGGTTGCAGAGCCAGAAGGTCCCCCCTGAGCCTCCTTTGCTCCAGGCTGAGCCCCCCCAGCTCCCTTTTCTGTCCCTTTGCTTTCTCCAAAAACTCTGTCGTTCCTAAACCTGCTGGGCCGATTTCTCATTTGATTTACATTGTTGTGAACAAAGAGTAAGAGCTGCATCCAACCAGGACAAGATTCCTGCACTGGAAACTGGAGCCATGTTCTTCCTGCTTCAGTTCTGGAATATTCACGTTGCCTCAATCCTTCCTTTTTATGCAGCTCCTGCTGTACATAAACAAACAGCACCAAAAGACTTAAACTCTGAGATGCAGCCTCACATCTACCTTTCATTTTTAACATATAATATCGACCATTTAACATTTATAATCAAACCATATTTAATGTAAACCACAAGGATTTCATCTCCATCTGTACAATTAAGACGTCACACATGAATAATGGAAGAGATTTGATGTTAAGAGACTCACACCCAGCTTGAATTCTATGGAATAGACGCCAAAAATTCACAGTACAATGAGTGTTTCACCTTGAGAACGGGTTCAGAGTTTGCCCTAATTGGCAATGAAATTATTAATAACCTGAATCCACTTTGACCATAAGTGACCACTGTCACTGATGTTAATTAGCACCATCATTAGTGCCATGCTTGGGAAGGGGTGGCTCTTCCTCCTGCCCATTAATTAACAGCTCAACACCATCCAGATCCATTGAAATGTTTCTTGCATAAGAAAAGTCTTGGGTTAAACCTGAGGACCTCTTCCCCATTTTTATTCTCCTGTCATGTTTTAGTGCCAAGAACATTCAGCACTAACCTTTTCCAATGTATTCCACGTGAAACCAGTGTTTGCCTGTTAAATAAATGGCAAACTTTGACTTCCTTTTTTTTTTCCCCCAACCTGGCCTGAATATTTATTTTATTTTTTTTTTCTTTAACCTGAAGAAAAATCTTTTGTTCTACTGATGTGGAATTTCTTAGTGAAGCTCTGAGGGTGTGGTGTGACTCACCAAAGCTTTTAAGGTGCTAGAGGGGCAGTGGAGGAACTGCTGAATGGCTGAAAATGCTCTATGTTGATTCCCTTTGCTGCAGGACTGGAGCTGGGAGTCAAGATTTTTCTCTTTCACTTATTTTTTTTCCCTTTTCATTTCATCCCACTGGGTAGAAAGAGCAACTTCCTGCTGTAGGAAGGGGTTGTGTGAGTGGAGGGGGGAAAAAAAAAACAAAATAGCTGTAAACCAAGAGAATTTGGAGCTCAAGTTGTGTAAAAAGTGTTCCTGGAGATGAGAGGCCCAACTCTTGGTGGGGCTCTTCCACTGAGTGACTTTTTTTTTTTAAATATTGCCCCTTTGCCCTTAAATAATTTAAATCCTGAAAATTTTAAAATTTAATTGCAATCCTTTAAATCCTTAAAATTCAGGATTAAATCCTTTAAATTCCTGTTTCCAGGACCAAACCCAGGTCCTAATACTGGCTGCCCATCATGTAGTTATCACACAACCAGTGATAACCAAATCCCAGTTCTCCCTCCTCCCTGCCAGTTAAGGAATAGGGAATAATTTAGGGAATAAATTCCCCTGGAGGATCTAAGAATGTTGAAGGATTTACTGAGAAATCAAGTCAATCTCCTTGAGGTGCTGACAGCCAAGGAAATTTCTGGGATCTGCATTTGTGTGATAACTTGGTTTGGTGGGGTTGTGTTTTACACTGACTGGTCTGGAGAGGTGCAGGATCCCAGGATGGGTCAGGCTGGAAGGACCCACAGTGTCCATCTGATCCCACCTCCCTGCTCCAGCAGGGCCATCCCAGAGCACAGGGATTGTGTCCAGAGGGCTCTGGAATATCCCCAGGGAGGATTTTCCTAGAATTCTGGCAGCGTTATATTTGCATGTGGAGTTGGAGTATTACAGAGCTCTTTGGTTCAGTCCCTTTATTTCAGTTTTCTCCATGGTATTGGGGAATTTATTTGGAACTAGAATTTATTTGGGGAATTTATTTGGTGTGGTATCATCTGGTGTTAAGGGTATTTATCTGCTGATATCCTGATCCAGAGCTGAGCAGGATTTGCTCAGGAGGGAATCTCAAAGTATTCAGGGAGGAGAGGGAAAAGAGAATTTTCCACCTGCCTATGGCAAAACTGAATCCCAGGATGGGTCAGGCTGGAAGGGCCCACAGTGGATCACCTGGTGCCACCTCCCTGCTCCAGCAGGGCCATCCCAGAGCACAGGGATTGTGTCCAGAGGGCTCTGGAATATCCCCAGGGAGGAGACTCTCCCCTCTCTGGCCAATCTGCTCAGGGCTGGGTCACTGCCCAGCCGAGAAGTTCTTCCTCCTGTGCAGGTGGCACTTGCTGGGCATCAGTTCCTGCCCGTTCCTGCTGTGCCATTGCTGGGCCCCCCGAGCAGAGCCTGGGCCATCCTCTGCCCCCTCCTGGAGCGAGTCAATAATGCCAACAGGATCCCAGCAGAGGCAGAAAACTGGAATAGTTTGTTTGGACTCACAAGTTCGTTTTTAAAGGTTCAGGGTTTACATATTTAACAGGGGGTTACATATTCATAAGGAGGCTGGGGTGATTCTGAACAGGGGTTTTCACAGGGGTGACATCAAGGGAAAACCCAGGTTAACCCATTTGGGGTCCCAGGAATCACCTCATGGGAAAAACCCTACTTGGGGGATTTTCCAGGGGGGATTAGGTATTGGGCGAGGGATACAGAGGATACACATGCAAAAAGGGGAGAACACAATGGGTTTTATGCAGAGGTCTGATGAGATCAGGACGTGGTTTCTCCAGGCTTGGGCAGGACATTCCAAACCCGTGACATCCATGGCTCCTTGGCTGGACTCTGGATGGGGTTTTTTTTCCCCAGTTCCTGTCAGTCCAAGGCTTTGTTTAAACTTAGCAGTTTTCCTTTTTCTCGTATCCAAATTTTTGGAATCCAACACCCTCCCTGCAGGCCCTGCCAGCCCTTGGGGAGGTCCCCTCTGGGTGTCCCCTCTGGAGGCTGAACAGCTCCAACTCCCTCAGAGATGCTCCATCCCTTCATCATCTCCGTAGGAGAATCATCTTCCAGGATCTCCATGATTTCCTCATCCAGAGGAGCCCAGAGCTGGACAAAGCATTCCAGATGTGCCTCCCAGGGCTGAGCAGAGGGGCAGGATCCCCTCCCTGACCTGCTGATAACCCTCTTCCTAAAGCCCCTCAGGTTCCCATTGGCCTTGTGCTTTCTTTGGCCGGGCAGGAGCAGAATAAGACTTGGAAATCATTCCTTAAGCACCTTGTGGTTTGGAATGGATTTTTTCCAGCCTGCTTTTGAGCCTGCACTATCACCTGAGTGTAACTAAGCCTCAGCCCAAGGTTCTTGCTTAGCACTACAAGCCCAAGCTAAGCCCCAGGTCCCTCTGTCCTCACTGATTACCAGGGAAGCTCCAGTGCCTTAAGTGGATTTATAGTTTGGATTTATAGTTCCCCAAACCTGCAAACATTTATCCACCTTCTCAGTGAAACAGAGATGAATAATCCCCTGGTGCTGGGTCTTTGAGTTCCTCAGAGCAATGAATATAAATTGCCCCCCTTTCAACCGGGCCGGGGCTGACACCGTGTGCAGGCAGCTGCCTTCTCCCAGGAGAAGGGAGATTTCCTTGTTTTCCCAGATAAATCAATTGACTTTGCTGGAAGAGTAAACTCGGCAGGAATTGTCTGTGCACCTGAAATGAAGCTTTTGCAGGTTTTATTTTGCTCTGCAACGAGAGCTGAACCTCCAAGTTTGGATTTATTTTGGTTCCTAAATGTCCATCAGGAGGAATTTCTCATCCCATCGTAACCCACTGCCCTGGATCCTCTGTTCCCTGCAGGAGAGCATCCCAGGGATCCTTTTTGAGGTTCTTGGCAATTTTTAATTCCTTAGACTTACACTTTTACCCCCCTGACCTCGAATCCACCCCAGAATTCCTGATGGAAGTGCAGGAGGTGTCTTCAGGACAGGACACAGTCCCCTGTCCTGCCCATATGGGTGCAGATAGACCTAAACCTTTTTTCCAGGTATTCCTCTACTTGATTAATATAATCCAGTGATGAGATCCCAGTGCTCTTCCTGAGCAATCCATCCACGTCCTGATTTTTAGGGATGTTCTTCACATCAGCCCTAAAGCTCCTTTGCTTTCATTTTCGCCCTAACTTCCTTTCCCAACCCTCTTGAAATTAAGGATAATTTAGGAGATGCCACTTGGAGATAATGTTTAGATTTTGATCTCCTTATCCCTAAACAAAAATAATCCACTTCCCACTTTTCCCCCCGTGGTTCATGTTTTATGGACGTGATGCCTGCTCTTCCCAGCTTTTTAGGAATGCAATCCGGGTAAGAAGAAACGACACCTCTAAAACGTATAAATATGGACATTTGTGTCTAAAACTGAATAAATATATAAATTTGCATATAAAATCGTATAAATATGTAAATGTGTAAATGTTTACCCTAAATGTATAAACCTGAATATGAGAGAGGACGAGCTGTGCAATGAAATTTAAATATGATTTCAAGCAGCACCAGCACAGATTGAGGATATTTTGTTTGATTTCCGTTTTGTTGAGGTTGCTGCGAAAGAAAACGACATTAAACGCTAGAAACCGGCAGAAAATAAAAATATATATATTTATATTCAGAAATACTCCTATTTGCTGTTATTGAGCATCATCCCAACGTGTATAATTAACATTATAATTAACACTTTGAAAAACAAGGGTTGGAGGAACAGGTTTGGCCACTGAATTTCTACTCTTCGCTGTGTTGGCAGGAGAGTTCCACTGTGGCTTCGAGGATGGGAATATTTGCCTTTTCACCCAAGACGACACGGATAACTTTGACTGGACTAAACAAAGCACTGCCACGAGGGACACCAAGTACACCCCAAACACGGGGCCCAACGCAGACAGGACGGGCTCCAAGGAAGGTGGGTGAGATCCTGGTGCTCCTGCTGGGCTGGCACCGGGAGCAGGATGGCCAGTTCAGTCATTTCCTGGTCATGGAATCGAAGAATGGTTTGGGTTGGGAGGGACCTCAAAGCCCATCTCATTCCAGCCCTCTCTGGGCAGCTGTTGCCTGAGCAGCCTTGGGTTGTGTTGTTTTATAGATTGTTCTGTGTCTGGCTCAAAGTTGGTGATGAGTTTACCTGGATTTAAAAGTACTTTATTATAGAATCAAAGAATGGTTTGGGTTGGGAGGGCTCTTCCTCCTGCCCATTAACTAACAGCTCAACACCATCCAGATCCATTGAAATGTTTCTTGCATAAGAAAAGTCTTGGGTTAAACCTGAGGACCTCTTCCCCATTTTTATTCTCCTGTCATGTTTTAGTGCCAAGAACATTCAGCACTAACCTTTTCCAATGTATTCCACGTGAAACCAGTGTTTGCCTGTTAAATAAATGGCAAACTGTGACTTCCTTTTTTTTTTTCCCCCAACCTGGCCTGAATATTTATTTTATTTTTTTTTTTTCTTTAACCTCATTCAAAACCCATCTCATTCCAGCCCTCTCTGGCTCTCTGGTCAGATGCTGTCTGAGCATCATTGGGTTGTGTTATTTTATAGCTAGTTCTGTGTCTGGCTCAAAGTTGGTGATACTTTTAAATCCAGATAAACTTATTTTATTATAGAATCAAAGAATGGGTTGGAAGGGACCTTAAAGTCCATATTGTTCCAACCCCAGACACCTCCCACTAGCCCAGGTTGTTCCAACCTGGCCTTGGACACTTCCAGGGATCCAGGGGGAGCCACAGCTTCTCTGGGAATTCCATCCCAGCCCCTCACCACCTTCACAGCCAAGAACTCCTTCCCATTATCCCACCTAGCCCTGCCCTCCTTTAATTTACAGCCATTCCCCTCCTCCTGTCCCTCCTTGTCCCATGTCCTTCTCCAGATCTCCTGGAACCCCTTTTAGGTACTGGAAGGTGCTCTGAGGTCATACCAAGAGTAACAATACCAGAATGGTGCCATCAACCATCTTGCCTCCTTTCTGTTGTGCCATTTTCCAAGTGAATCCTTTCCCGTTATATCCTGCTGGGGAAACCTCCTGGCTCATCTGCAAATATTCTTCTGCTTTATGTCATTTAAATCCCGACTTGGACTCCCTCAGCCTGTCACAACCAGGTGATTTTTGGCCCCGTTTTTGCTCTGGGTGTTGTTATAATGTGCAGTTTTCCATCTGCTCCCCCATTAACGTGGTTTTCCGCTGCAGTGTGTGTTTACATTGAAAAGGCAGACACCTCGTGCTGAATTTTTCAAATCCTGCAGTAACTCAGATTATTTTAGGCCCCTGTTTGCACAACCAAACAGGACAAAAAAAACCCTTCCTGCATCATATTCACTCAGTTGGGTTAAATAAATAAAATCTCTGTGGTTTGTGCGATCCGGGAACGCAATAAATGAATATTTTCTTCTTTGTGACTGACGTGGCCAGCAAGAAATATTCCTTGAAAGGTTTCCATTGAGATATTTTCCCTTTATTTTACAAATCACCCCCACTCCCTGTTTACAGGGACAAATTACCACCTGGACCCTGAAGGCTGAACCCCCTCATAAAGACCTTTTTCTTCGCTCGTGCATTAACACATTACATGGACTTGGAGCTGTTTTCCAGGACTGGACCTGCCGGTTTGGCTTTCAGTTTCCATGGAAAACAGGATTTTGAAGCAGTTGCAGAAAACACATGAGCTTAATATGAAGAAACACGGCCCAGAATCCACGGGATGGCAGAAAAACGGGAAAAATCGATCGAGCCGCTGGATTAATTAATCGAGTCCCGTCGTGTCCTGCGTTTGAAGGCTGTGGAAGATCCCGACCTAACGATTCCCATTTGGATTTTCCCAGGTTTCTACATGTACATCGAGACGTCCCGGCCCAGGCTGGAGGGGGAGAAGGCCAGACTGGTCAGTCCCGTGTTCAGCGTCGCTCCCAAAAATCCCTACGGAGCCACCAACACGGCCTATTGCTTCAGCTTCTACTATCACATGTATGGACAGCACATAGGTGAGAGAAAGCCAGGGGGACCTCTGGGGGAGAGGCTTTTGGGGGAAAAACGGCAGGAAAAGTGGCCTCTGGGGTGAAGGAAAAGCAGGGGAGGACTCCCGGCACCTTCCTGGGCCGGTTACAACCTAAAAGAGGGGCCTGAGAGCATCCAAATTGGTGCAAAATTCCAATTCCGGGTGATTAGGAACTCACAGGAGCCCCTCTTATATCTGGGAATATTTTCCTACATGAATTGAGGTTTTGAACAGGGAATTTTCCATTTAGTTAAAAAATCCCAATTTCCACTGATCAGGAACTCACAGGAACCCCTCTGATATCTGGGAAGAGTTTTCTGCATAAATGAGGTTTTAAACAGGGAATATTCCAAATTATTGCAAAATTCCAATTTCCACTGATCAGGAACTCACAGGAGCCCCTCTGACAGCTGGGAAGAGTTTCCTGCATGAGTGAGGTTTTAAACAGGGAATTTTGCAATAATATGGAAAATTCCAATTTCCAAATTATTACAAAATTACAATTCCCACTGATCATGAACCCATAGGAGCCCCTCTTATATCTGGGAAGCATTTCCTGCCTGAGGTTTTAAACAGGGAATTTTCCAAATTATTGCAAAATCCCAGTTTCCACTGGTCAGGAACTCACAGGAGCCCCTCTTATATCTGGGAAGAGTTTCCTGCATAAATGAGATTTTGAGCAGGGAATATTCCAAATTATTGCAAAATTCCAATTTCTAAATTATTACAAATTTCCAATTTCCACAGATCAGGATCCCACAGGAGCCCCTCTTATATCTTGGAATAATTCCCTGCACGACCGAGGTTTTGAACAGGGAATTTTAGAGCCTGAAAAGCCAAAACTTGATATTAGCAAGGATTTTTCTTGCTGCAAAGGAGCGTTTCGAGTCATTCCTGCCTAAATTCAGGATGGGGGAGGCAGCAGCATCATTCCTCACGTGTGTGATGCAGCAGCACATCCTCCTTTGTACAAGTCAGGAACAATTTGCTCCCCAGCCGTAGAAATCCGTGTTTTCAAGGGATATCTCTAAGTCTATTTTTAGCCCCAACTCTTCCAACACACAGCTGTAATTTCTTCCCGTGGTCTGAGAGCAAAAAATATAAAAAATTATAAAAAAATCTAAAGCTCAGACAACCAATTTTTTTCCCAAGCCCTCGAAATCCCCACGGGGCGCTCGGTGCGTCAAGAGCTTTTCCAGGGTCGAGCTGGCCTGACTGGATGTGTTTTTATCTAAATTCCAAGGGCAAACTCATTTCAAATTTCAAACTCATCCTCCCAGCACGGTCTGGTGGTGGTTTTGTCAAAGCTCCTCCTGCCCCCGGGCCGAGCTGGGATTTTAAACGGAGCAGACAAGTTCACTGGGGGTTTTTTTTGGCGTCGGGAGAAGGTGGATGCGGCCCCAGGTGGGAATTCTCCCGGCTCTGGGTTGCAGCAGGAGCTGGGGGTTTATTGGGAGAAGTGATTGAGCCCGACATGCTCAGGGACAATATATGAACTGCTTTATATGGGCATATTCTGGTGCAATTCTGGTTAAATTTTGGTCCTATTTGGTTAAATTCTCGTCACATTCTGGTTAAATTCTGGTCATATTTTTGTTGTACTCTGGGTACATTCTGGTCAAATTGTGGTTAAATTCTGGATGTATTATGGTTGCATTCTGGTCATAATTTGGTTAAATTCTGGTAAAAGTCTGGTCACATTCTGGTTAAATGCTGGTCACATTTAGGTTAAATTCTGGTCACATTCTGGTTAAATTCTGCTCACATTTAGGTTAAGTTCTGGTCACATTCTGGTTGAATCCTAGTTGTATTTTGGCTGAATTCTGGTCATATTCTGGTTGAATTCTGGTTATATTCTGGTTAAATTCTGGTCATATTTTTGTTGTACTCTGGGTACATTCTGGTCAAATTCTGTTTGGATTATGGTTGAATTCTGGTCATATTTTGGTTAAAATCTGGTAAAATTCTAGTCATATTCTAGTTGAATTCTGGTCACAATCTGCTTAAATTCTGGCCACATTTTGGTTAAATTTTGATCATATTCTGGTTATATTCTGGTCATATTCTTGTTGCATTCTGGTCGTATTCTGGTCGTATTCTGGTCGTATTCTGGTCGTATTCTGGTCGTATTCTGGTCGTATTCTGGTCGTATTCTGGTCGTATTCTGGTCGTATTCTGGTCGTATTCTGGTCGTATTCTGGTTGCATTCTGGTCGTATTCTGGTTGCATTCTGGTCGTATTCTGGTTGCATTCTGGTCGTATTCTGGTTAAATTCTGGTCATATTTTTGTTGTACTCTGGGTACATTCTGGTTAAATTCTGGTTGGATTATGGTTGCATTCTAGTCATATTCTGGTTAAATTCTGGTAAAATTCTAGTCATATTCTAGTTGAATTCTGGTCATATTTTGGTTAAATTCTGCTCACATTCTGGTCATATTCTGCTTGAATTCTGGCTGAATTCTGGTCATATTCTGGTCATATTTTTGTTGTACTCTGGACATATTCTGCTTAAATTCTGGTTCTATTCTCGTATTCTGGACATATTCTGGTCATCTTCTGGTTGCATGCTGGTCATATTCTGGTCATATTCTGGTTGCATTCTGGTCAAATTCTGGTCATATTCTGGTTGCATTCTGGTCAAATTCTGGTTGCATTCTGGTCAAATTCTGGTTGCATTCTGGTCAAATTCTGGTTGCATTCTGGTCAAATTCTGGTCATATTCTGGTTGCATTCTGGTCAAATTCTGGTCATATTCTGGTTGCATTCTGGTCAAATTCTGGTCATATTCTGGTTGCATTCTGGTCAAATTCTGGTCATATTCTGGTTGCATTCTGGTCAAATTCTGGTCATATTCTGGTCATATTCTTGTTGAATTCTAGTTGCATTCTGGTCAAATTCTGGTCAAATTCTGGTCATATTCTGGTCATATTTTTATTGCATTCTGATCACATTCTGGTCGAATTCTGGTCATATTTTTATTGCATTCTGATCACATTCTGGTCGAATTCTGGTCATATTTTTATTGCATTCTGATCACATTCTGGTCGAATTCTGGTCATATTTTTATTGCATTCTGATCACATTCTGGTTGAATTCTGGTCAAACTCTGGTTGTATTCTGGTTGAATTCTGGTCAAGTTCTAGTTAAATTCTAGTCATATTCTGGTAAAATTCTGGTTGTATTCTGGTTGCATTCTGATCATATTGTGGTCACATTCTGGTCATACTCTGGTCAAATTCTGGTCATGTTCTGGTTGCATTCTGGTCATACCAGCCTGTTTCTGGTATATGACCATGAAGAGCAAATTCAGAACATAAAGGGGCCAGGAGTGTTTCTGGAACACCTGACAAAGTATTTGGGTTGTAAAGTAAAGGGTTGGGATAAAGTATAAGAAAAAAACCCCGTGATTTTGGGTGGGATTTGGGGTATTTCTCCTGGATTACCTTTTCAGTAATATCTGTGGTAAGCATTTTTTGCTGAGATCACATTTTTCCTGTTGAAAAGGAAGGGTCCCCCTGGAAGGAACCTTAAAGCTCATCTTGTTCCACCTCTTTCCACTAGAACTGGTTACTCAGAGCCCCATCCAGTATAAAATTACATTTTATTCTGTCTTTAAGGAGCAAACTGACAGAAAAAATAGTGAATTAATACCATCAACCACATGTTTGATTGCTTAATTCGAAATTTTAACCCCTCAGAATGACAAAATCAAGCAAAACATGTGAAATAAATGATGAAGTCAGCAACTATAGAAACCATTTGGTCGGCCAGAGGGGAAATCTGTCCCTGATATTGTTCCTGTGAGGATCATGAAAAGGAAAACCTAATGAGTGATGAAATCTTTAAGATTTCAGTGCAATGAGCACAAACTGAAAAAGAATCGTTTCTATTTAAACAGAGAAATAAACATTTTTTTTTTTAATTCTGAGGGCAGTCAAACACTGGCACAGGTTGCCCAGAGAGGCTGGGGGGGAGTCTCTGTCCTTGGAGAATCCAAAATCCAGTTGTCCCTGGCCCTGCAAAGCTGCTTTCATGTGCCGTGCCTTGAGCAGGGGGTTGAATGGGATGATCCCCAGAGATGCCTCCAACCTCTGTGAGAAATAGTTAATTGGTAATAGATTTTTTCAGAATCACATGGATTGCTCCCCTGTGGATAATTCTAAATCTCATTGCTGGAACAGATTGACTGTTTTATCATGAGCTGTTGGAAGCCTTGACCCTTCACTGGGCTCTGGAATTTGCAGCCAGTGTGTGGAAGGTCTTCCTTATCCCCCTTTGGGAATGAGCAGGGCCAGTCAGGGCAGCTGTTGGCATTCCCTGCTCATGGATTTATCCACAAGAGCAGGGGAGAAGCTGCTAAATGAGACTTTGTATGTCACAGAAACACAGAGTGCTTTGGGTTCAAAGAGATCTTAAAGCTCATCTTGTTCCATGGGCAGGGACACCTTCCACTAGCCCAGGTGGCTCCAGCCTGGCCTTGGACACTCCCAGGGATCCAGGGGCAGCCACAGCTTCTCTGGGAATTCTATTCCAGGGCCTCTCCACCCTCCCAGCCAGGAATTCCTTCCTCATATCTAATTTATGATCTAATATATGATCTCTCTGCTGTAGGATCCATGAGATTTCCAGGCAGTGTCAGGATTATTATTCCTGTGTCTCAGGCTGGGAGAGCTGGGGGGGTTCCCCTGGAGAAGAGAAGGCTCCAGGGAGAGCTGAGAGCCCCTGGCAGGGCCTAAAGGGGCTCCAGGAGAGCTGGAGAGGGACTGTGGACAAGGGATGGAGGGACAGGACACAGGGAATGGCTTCCCACTGCCAGAGGGCAGGGATAGGTGGGATATTGGGAAGGAATTGCTGGCTGGGAGGGTGGGGAGGGGCTGGAATGGAATTCCCAGAGAAGCTGGTGTGGAGATCAATGGAGATCTGAACATATGTAAGGACACAGATCTGCTGGGATGGGTCCAGAGGAGGCTCCAGGATGATCAGAGGATGGAGCAGCTCTGCTGGGAGGGAAGGCTGGGAGAGCTGGGATTGTTCAGCCTGGAGAGGAGAAGCTTTGGAGTGTCCTGATTGTGGCCTTGCAGGACCTGAAGGATCTACAGGAAAGATGGAGAGAGACTGTGGACAGGGAATGGACGGACAGGACACAGGGAATGGCTTCCCACTGCCAGAGGACAGGGAGAGATGGGATATTGGAAGGAATTCCTGGCTGGGAGGGTGGGGAGGGACTGGAATAGAATTCCCAGAGAAGCTGTGGCTGCCCCTGGATCCCTGGAAGTGTCCAAGGCCAGGTTGGAGCAACCTGGTCCAGTGGAAGGTGTCCCTGCCCATGGCAGGAGATTGGAGACTGAGAGTCTTTAAAGGTCCCTTCCAACCCAAACCATTCCATGATTATAATAATATTATATTATATTAAATAAGTTTGGAAGAAGGATGAGGCCCAGCAGCCTCTCCAGCCCTGCCCAGCCCTGTGTCTCAGCCCCAGCCTGGGCTGCAGGGAACCCTCCTGAGCTTTCCCTCGGCAAACCCTTTTTTCTTTAGCTCTTTTCCTGCCTCTGCCCCCTCCCTTGCATTCCCAAGCTGGAATTCCACAGTGGGAGCTCCCCCAGCTCCTCCAGGGAAGATGTGAGGCCTCATCCCAGGCCCCCTGGTGAAAGGGCCGTGAGGGGAATATTTGCTGCTCCATTACAGGGGGTTTTTTTGATGTTTTTCAAGGCCCTGAGTTTGGCTCTTGCTGGAAATAAGAAGTTCTTATGAGCAGGAGCTGAGTCACTGTGCAGCTGCCTCAGAGCTGGGAGCTGGCATTGCAAATATCATCTGTATGAGCTGCCCAGCTGCCAGGCCAAGCCCCCTAAAAAAAAAAAACAACACTGCTCTTGTGTGAACTTGACTGTCTGAACCTCCTCAAATTCAGGCAGATGTAAAGAGTTACAGAGAACAAAGAGGCACCGCTGCCCCACACGTCTGCAGACAACAACAGTGGGCAAATAGGACCCAAACCTCAAAGTTATGGGAATTATTGACCCCTGAGAAATGAAATCAAGGTGTTTTCTGGCCCTCTGGTCATACCAAGCCTGTTTCTGGTATATGACCATGATGGGCAAATTCAGAATATGAAGGGTCCAAGAGTGTTTCTGGAATAGCTGACAAAGTGTTTGGGTTGAAAAGTAAAGGGTTGGGATAAAGTATAAGAAAAAGAGCCACTGAGGGTGAAGTGTGTCCACAAACCAGTGGTTTTGGGTGTGATATAAGGATTTACAGAGAACAAAGAGGCACCACTGCCCCACACATCTGAACACAACAGCGGGCAAATAAGACCAAAATCTCCAAACTCTGGGAGTTATTGACCCCTGAGAAAGGAAAAATATATATGAATAAAAAAAATGAAATCTCTTACCTGTTGTAAATAATGTCTGTGCTGGAACCAGTAACTTCATGGTCAGCAGTGGGTAAAGACACAGCTCTGGGTGGGTTTTCCTCCACAGGGAGGGAGTTTTCTGAGGGGGTTTTAACTCAGAGGATGTTGTTGGCATTCAAAAATACCCCTTGGCAGCAGTGAGGGCACATCACATCAATGTCTGAGGTAGATCTGCCAGGCTCTGGGGCACTCCAGGAGCTTAAAGATGTGCTGAGTAAACAGGAAGCTGGACAGTTTTTATCATAGAATCATAAAATCATAGAAGGTTTGGGTTGGAAGGGACCTTAAAGATCATCTAGATATGGGCAGGGGCACCTTCCACCAGCCCAGGTTGCTCTGGGCTTGGACACTTCCAGGGATGGGGCAAAACCTGAACCATGAGCCCAACTCCCTCTCCAAACCTTTTTCCTGGCTGGATTTTTTAGTGGCCACTAAATCTCCCCCACACTCAAGAAATACTCACTCCAGACTCAGGAGAACAGGAACAAAATGTCCTTTTCTGGTGCCTCATTTCTAAAAAAACACCCCACTTTTGATAAATAAATGGTTATTGGGATCTCAGCTGCCCTTTGAAATGGGACACAAATTCCAGGACTTATTAAAATGAGAGGACTGAGAGGTAAAAATGACTCCAAGAAGGGTTGTGTAAGTTCTCAGCCTTCCCAAGTTGAAAAGGTTTGGAATATATGACAAGAAACTCTCCCCACGTGTTCAGACCCAGAAAAAAATGGGAATGGGGGTGAGGAGGGGACCCTGCTGTGCCCACCTTCCGTGGGAAGGCCTGACCAACTCCAGATCTCCTCTTTTCCAGGAAGCCTGAATGTTTACCTGAGGCTGAAAGGTCAGACTGCAATAGAGAACCCCCTGTGGTCTTCGAGTGGGAATAAGGGCCAGCACTGGAACCAAGCCCGTGTGAACATCAACCCCCCCACCTCATTCCAGGTAACCCCTCGAGCTCTGGGAACGGGAGGAGTCGATTTTGGAGGTTTGGGAGGAGGGGAATGTGCCCTCTGACCATCCATGGAATTGTAGAATCAGCTGGGTTGGAAGGGACCTCCGAGATCATCCAGTCCAACCCTTGATCCAACCCCGCCGTGGTTCCCAGCCCATGGCACTGATGCCACATCCAGTCTGTCCTTAAACACCTCCAGGGACGGAGAATCCCCCCCTTCCCTGGGCAGCCCATTCCAAGGGCTCAGCACCCTCTCTGCAAAGAAATTCTTCCTGATCTCCAACCTCCCCCTCCCCTGGCCCAGCTGCAGACCCAGCCCTCTTGTCTTGCTGAGAGTTGCCTGGGAAAAGAGACCAACCCCCCCCGGCTCCCCCCTCCTGGCAGGGAGTTGCAGAGAGTGAGGAGGTCTCCCCTGAGCCTCCTCTTCTCCAGGCTGAGCCCCCCAGCTCCCTCAGCCTCTCCTCCCAGCACTTGTGCTCCAGTCCCTTCCCCAGCCTCGTTGCTCTCCTCTGGCCCTGCTCCAGCCCCTCCAGGGCCTTCCTGAGCTGAGGGCCCAGAACTGGACACAGCACTCCAGGGGTGGCCTCCCCAGCGCTGAGTCCAGGGCAGGAATCCCTTCCCTGGCCCTGTTGGCCACCCTGTTCCTGAGCCAGGCCAGGCTCCATTGGCCCTCTTGTCCCCCTGGGCACACTGGGGCTCCTGTTCAGCTCCCTGGCCATCCCCACTCCCAGCTCCCTTCCTGCCTGGCTGCTCTCCAGCCCCTCTGGCCCAGCCTGGAGCTGCCGGGGGTTGTTGTGGCCAAAGGGCAGGACCCGGCCCTTGGCCTGCTTGACCCTCATCCCCTTGGAATCAGCCCATGGATCCAGCCTGGCCAGGTCCCTCTGCAGAGGGACCCTTCCCTTCTGCCCCAACATCTCACAGCTTCTTCTCACCTCTGAAAGCTGCTTTATGTCCAGATAATTGCTTTGTGAGCACCAGGAGCTCGGTAATGCCACACAGAGCACAGCAGCTCTTTGCTCGGAGACAAAATATCCTTCAGCTCGCATGAGATGCTGGTGGTGATAGAAAACATGGTTTTATTTCAGGATATAAAATGGCTCGCTGTGGAAAATTATTTCAGGCCTGTGTAGAGCGGCTGCGCTAAAGGTCTCTAAAAATCTGTGTATTTTGTGCAGACAGAGGAGTGATTTGTGAACCTTTGCTGTGAGGCAGCAAAGCATCTGTGCTGCCCACCCAGAGCCCCCGGTGAACGAGTTCTGTGACAGGTTTTCACACATTTCGTGTTTGGTTTGACAGTGAGACGCTGATAGACTGTTACAGGCAGTTCTCATCCACCCTCGGAGCTGGTTGGAACTGGAACAGAGCCAAAAAAAGCAGCTGCTGGGAGCGACCTTTGTGTGTGAGAGGTGGGAGTGTTGTCATGGAAAGCTGGAGCCGGCAGCCCTGCCCTGGGATGGTTCCTCTGGCCCCTCCCTGTCACCTCCAGGTGCTCCAGGGGAGAAAATGGGTTTTTGGGGGAAACAGTCGTAGAATCTCAGAATGGTTTGGGTTGGAAGGGACATTAAAGCCCATTCATTGCCACCCCCTGCCACTGGCAGGGACACCTTCCACTATCTCAGACTGCTCCAACCTGGCCTTGGAAAAGTCCTCCAGTGCAAGTCAAAGGTCCCATATAAACATTCACATTGGGATTCACCCTGTGGACAATTCCTGGTTCTGACCCTCTGTTCTTATTTATAAATAAAGGTGGAATTATTTATAAATAAGAGCTATAAATAAATGTATACTTATTTCTGCATGAGAAACGTCGACAGGAGAGAAATGATTTCACACCTGGGATTGCAAAAGCATTGGATGGAGGGAATCAGAGGAAAACTGAAGGAGAGGGAATTGTCAAGTGTAGTAATATATGATAGAGAGCTGGGGGATTCACCTGGAGAAGAGAAGGCTCCAGGGAGAGCTGAGAGCCCCTTGCAGGGACCTAAAGGGGCTCCAGGAGAGCTGGAGAGGGACTGGGGACAAGGCATGGAGGGACAGGACAAGGGGGAACGGCTTTAAGCTGGAAAAGTGTAGATTTAGGTGGGATATTGGGAAGGAATTCCTGCCTGGGAGGGTGGGGAGGCTCTGGAATAGAATTCCCAGAGAAGCTGTGGCTGCCCCTGGATCCCTGGAAGTGTCCAAGGCCAGGTTGGAGCAATCTGGGCTAGTGGAAGGTGTCCCTGTCCATGGCAGGGGGTGGCACTGGATGGGCTTTAAGGTCCTTCCAACTCAAACCATTCCGGAATTCTGTGACGCTTGAGGGGAACAAAGTGGCAGAATTGGGGTAGGAGAGGGCAGAGAGGAGGGATCTGAGTAGTAAAGCACAAATGGGGCCAAGTACAAGGAGCTGCTCAGAGTTGTGGAGTTTTTTTCACTGGTGTAGTCAGGAGAAATCCAAGAAATCTGAACAGTAAAGGAGAGAGAGAAATGATTTTGTACCTGAACATAAGAAATGGCCGGGGAAAGGGAGGGAAGAAATGGCATTTGGGATGGTCTGTTGGCCATGAGCAGGGATTTGGGATGATCTGTTGGTGCTCCCTGTGTGTCTGGGTGAGCTCAGAGCAGCCCATGGGCCCAGCTGGGCGCTCTCAGCCTGAGGCTCCTGTTGTGCTGCAGCCCCAATTAACCAGCAGCAGTTAATTAGTGACCCCTGGCTGGGGGTGCTGATGGAGATGGGGTCAGACGAGGCTCTTAGGTGGGTTTTGGGGTGTCCTGGGCAGGATCAGGAGTTGGAGTTGGATGATCCTTGAGGGTTCTTTCCTCCTCAGGATATTCCATGATTCCATTAATGGTTCTGTGATTCCATAAATGACTGCGAAAGCTGAAACCAAAGTGATTTGAGGGATCTGAGAGGGCTTCTGGAGACCCCAGGGGTCACTTCTGCAACCAGTTCACCTCCCTGGCATTGCTTAAAACCCACATTGTCCCTCCCTGGATCACCCAGTGAAGCTCCTCTCCTTGGCTATTTTTCACCTTTTACATTGTTTAAAGGCTTCAGCATAAAATAAATGTAAAGCCACGAAGCTTTGCCCCAAATATAACAAATAAATGTCAGAGTGCTTGGAACCTTAAATTACGGTTTTGAGCAGCTCTTGCATCGAGCAAACTTTATTTTCCATTTAGGAGCCTAAGTAGGAAAGAATATAAACCTCCCAGTTAAATTTAAGGAGAGGGAATTGAAGTGAATCTTGGCAGTAAAACAGTAAACTGACATGGAAATTAAAACTTTTTATAGGTTAATTTATAGGGGTAAAAGATTTTATACCTTCTCAGTCCCCGTGATAAAGAACAAAGCTCCTGCCATGAGGAACTGGGAGGACTGCAGTGCTTTGAATCACAAAGTGATTGCATAAATCTATCTCAGAGAGTCACTTTTTCAGTATTTTTAAGGAATGAACACCAAGAATAAGGAGAGCATAGCAAGGGGTCAGTTTTGGTTCAGAGTTGTGCAGCAGGATATGGAGATTATGGGGATGATTGTGATTGGATTTATTGCTGTGGCAAATAATAACTCATATTATAAAAGTTACATATAACATAATTATGTTATATATAATTATGTAATAATTATGTTATTTTTAAATATATATCTATTATTGCAAAGTATTATGGTGCCATCAGGTTGGGGTCCCTCCTGGTGGGTCGGTGACACCCCCTCACTGTCTGAACATCTCAGACAAGCCCAGGTGGGGCTCAGCTCACCCAGTCCCAGCTTTAGTCCCAGTTTGTGTCCCAGGCTGGGCTGGGAACATCCCCCTTTCCAGTCCTGGGCCTTGCAGGATTCCCAGTCCCAAAGCCCCAGAGCCTCAGGCACAGGGTGGGAGTGTTGGGGTGTCCTGGGCAGGGGCAGGGCTTGGACTCCATGATCCTGGTGGGATCAGCTCAGGATATTCCATGAGCTGTGGAGCTGCTTTAGGATTTTCTCTCTGGATTTGACCAGATCTCAGCACTTTTTGCTCACCCATCCCAAAGTGAGTGTCCCCTGTCTTTGGCCTGGATGGACCTGCAGGTGTCCCAGGGCCCTGGAGGGAAAGGGAGAAGGGCTGGGGAGGGAGGGGAGCACACAAGGGAAGACCCAACTACCTTTTGTGTCATCCCAGAAGCTCCTCTACATCGTATTTGGAGCCGGGCCTGGAAGGTAAAAATCTGTCTGAAGTCCCATGGAAGAATCATGGAATCACAGAATGGGTTTGGGTTGGAAGGGACCTCAAAAACCACCTTGTTCCACCCCCTGCCACGGGCAGGGACACCTTCCACCAGCCCAGGTTGCTCCAAACCCCATCCAGCCTGGCCTTGGACACTCCCAGGGAAGAAGCACAAGCTGAATCCCACAGGGACACTCAGAACAGGCCTTATAGGGTCGTATTTCCAGGCCCTAGTTGAGTCTTTGGTGTGCCCCTGAGCCCTTCTATTCTCCAGCTAAATGCAATATTTTTAACAGCTTTGTAAAGCCACAGACATGCAGACAATGGGGTTTTTTTTGGGATATTGATATGGGATTCTGATCATCTGGCAGCTCCTGCTCCGTGCTGTGCCAACACTCCTCTGATTTGTTCTGAGTGTGTGGCCAGGCTGGCTGATGGCAAACCCCATCTCTGAGGGCCATAAACCACGCTGCCAAATGCACAGTTTAATTAAATGCTGCCTCTTGTCTTTGTCTGGGGTCCTTTTGTCTGGAAACAGAGTTTTTCATTGTCAGGGAAAATTTGACTTTAAACCCCATTGACAGGGCTGTGCCTGCTGCCAAGGAGCAGGAAAGGGAGATGTACTTTGGGGGGGAGGAAAGAGAACTTTCTTTTGGAGCTGGAAACTTTCCTCTGGAGCTGGAAATCTCCCCTCGTCAGTGGCAGAGTCGAAAAATTGTCAGAGGGATAATTACTTGAGACACTGTTTTCAGACAACGGGGTAAATTATGGAAAAACTTGCTGTTTGCCCCATTATTCCCTGTTGCATTAATATCCACCTTGTTTTAGTAATTAACCTGCAGTAATTAACCTGCAGCATCTCTTGGTAATAAAATACTGGTGGAATGTTTTAACCCTTATGGTTTATTTAGTGCTCCCAGCACAGACCTGTCACCTGGCTCAGGACACCCCAGGGAGGCTGTAAATACACCCCTTTTATCCCGGCTTTTCCCTGCAGGGTCAGGAACCTCTGGGAATGCTCAGCTCAGCGAAAGAATTAGATAAAATTGGATATTAGGAGAAATTCCTTCATGGAAAGGGTTCAGGGCAGGGGTGGAGCCCCCATCCCCTGCAGGGATTTCAAAGCCCTGTGGATGTGGCACTTGGGGACATGGGGTGGCCTTGGCAGTGCTGGGGATGGTTGGACTCGATAAAATCAGAGTTCTTTTCCAACTTTAATGATCCCACAGGATTCTCTGTGTCCATGGCAAGGCTGAGGGACCTTTTCCTCCATGGAAAGCCACATGTTACAGTGGCATAGTGATGAAGCTGCTCTGGAGACACCAGGTGACAACAGGGCCCAAAATTAGCACCTTTGATATTTTTCAGCTCCTTCTGAAGAGGAAAAGCCTTCACAGCTCACACCCCCTCTGTGTCCACCCTCAAGCACACAGGAATTGGTTTTTTACCCCACAGAAAGTGGTTGGGAATCATTCCAAGCCCCTCCAGATGGTTCAGTGCCGGGCCAAACTCGACTCGATGATCTTGGAGGGCTTTTCCAACCTCAATGATTCTTTGGGATTCTGTGTGTCCATGGCCAAGGCTGAGGGACCTTTTCCTCTGTGCAAGGGCAGAGCAGAGAATCCCGTGTGTGGTGTGATGTCTGGTGGCATTGGGCACCTTCTCTGGGTGCTGTGCATCCAGCTGGTGATTTACAGGATCATCTTCCAGTGGGGAATGTCTCTGGCTCCTCTGTGTTTTCCTGCAATCTGTGCTCCAGTGGATGCTCAGTCTTTCCTTACCTCAGGTGGCAGGAGTTTCTTGGAGAAACACCCCCAATCTCCTTAAAGCTTTAATTCCTTTTAATCCTGCTCTTTGCTCCAGGAATACCAGACTTAAATCAGCCACACATTCCATTAACGTAGTGATGAAGCTGCTCTGGAGACACCAGGTGACAACTGGGCCCAAAAATTAGCACCTCTGATATTTTTCAGCTCCTTCTGAAGAGGAAAAGCCTTCACAGCTCACACCCCCTCTGTGTCCACCCTCAAGCACAGAGGAACAGGTGCCTTCATTTACTGAAAAATGCTTTTTGTTCTGGTTGTTTTAACTTGTTTTTTGCGCCACAGAAGGTGGTCAAGAGTCATTCCAAGCCCCTCCAAGTAGTTCAGTGCCGTGACCGACACAAGTGAAGGTTTTCCACTCATCACCCTCTGATCTTGATCTACTTCTTCTTCATTGCTCTGCAGCTCATCTTTGAAGGGATCCGTGGCCCTGGCATCGAAGGGGACATTGCCATTGACGACGTGTCCATTGTGGAAGGGGAGTGCATGAAGTCAGACCAACCGGCCAACAGTAAGTGCTGCTTCTCCACACAAGGGGCAGAAAGGTCCTCAGGGGTTTATTTATCTTAGACAACTCCCCAAATGGATTTTTTTTCCAGAAGAGCAATATCTGGCTTGGTTGGAGAGGCTTAAATTGCAGTGTTTTCCTTGGAAATGGCTTTGTTCCGGTAGAGGGTGAGCAGAGATGCCAGTGAAAGACTCGTGGGTGTTGGGCAGAGAGACCAGTGGGTGACTCTCCACGGTGGGTTGGGCTGGGGAGCCACAATTTTTTCCAGGAGAACAATATTTGGTTTAGTTGGAGAGGCCTAAATTTTCTTTGTAGTGTTTTCTTTGGAAATACTTTTTTCAGAGGGAAAAATTCTGGCTGAGCAGAGACGCCAGTGAAAGGGTGTTGAGCAGAGAGAGCAGAGTGACTCTTCATGGTGGGCTGGGCTGGACAGCCACAATTTTTTCCAGGAGAACAACATCTGGCTTGGTTGGAGAGGCTTAAGTTGAAATGTTTTCCTTGGAAATGGCTTTGTTCAGGTAGTGGTTGAGCAGAGGTGCCAGGTGGGGGTGTTGGACAGAGGTGAGAACAGTGACTGACTCCCCACAGCGGGTTGGGCTGTGCAGCCCCAATTTGAGATAGTCAAACACATAAAGCAACATTGAAAACATACTCAGAGGGTCCAAACAATATAAAATTCATGAAAATCACTGTTGTGTTCCCCTGTGGACCTTCTTTCATCCCTCCACCCCCATGTGTGCATTGCACAGACCAGAACTGTGCAACCAGGTGGATTTTCATCCCAATATCTCTGCCCCGTTTAGTTGTGAGGTGGATTTTCATCCCAATATCTCTGCCCTTTTTCTCTGTGAGGTGAATTTTCATCCCAGTGTCTCTGCCCTATTTAGTTTTGGGGTGGATTTTCATCCCAATGTCTCTGCCCTATTTAGCTGTGAGGTGGATTTTCATCCCAGTGTCTCTGCCCTGTTTAGTTGTGAGGTGGATTTTCGTCCTGATGTCTCTGCCCTGTTTAGCTGTGGGGTGGATTTTCATCCCAATATCTCTGCCCTCTTTAGTTGTGAGGTGGATTTTCACCCCAGTGTCCCTGCCCTATTTAGCTGTGAGGGTTGTTCTCATCCCCTGTGTGTAGAAGGTGATCTTGTCCCTGCAGGGGAGGTTGGTGGCCCTCAGTGGGACATGTGGGGACAGCCCAAGTCAGCCCCATCCTGCCACATCCACATGATTGTGCAGCTCCTGGTGGGTGAGCCCTCGATCTTCTAAAGCCTTGTAGAGTTCTGACTGTGTCTGAGCAGCTCTTTAATTGCCCTTTTTCCCCCCTTTTCTGCAGATTTACGATCAGGTGCTGTTGGGACATTCTCACATATACGACTCCTCCCACTTCTCCTCCTCATGTCTGTCTTAAGTCATCAGAGGTGACCTTATCCTGGCAGAGGCTACAAAAGATTCACCAGGCACTGGCATGAAGAAGAAAAGAGTCTTTGTAAAACGGACATTTTAAAAACAAACTACCAAAGATTCCTCCACTGAACTGACTCAAGAAAGTTAAATAAGTACGTAAATAAATAATTAAAAAATGAACAGAACAAAACAAACAAACAAAAAAAGGTAATTAAGAAAGCACTGGGGACATAAAAGGCATCACGAGCCACGTGTGAGGACGGGATCTGGCCTAAGGAAAGAAGAGACCTTCAGGTGCTTTTGTGGTCAGTGATGAATTCAGCATCATCTGGTTGAACTCTCGGCGAAGAGCTATAGAAACCCTTGTCAAAGCACAAAAAGTCATGGCTGGTTTTGTTTCAAATGAATAGTTTGCTTGTTACCATGGAAACCTAATGGCCTGCCAAAAAAAAAACAAAAACAAAAAAAAGGAGAGAGGAAATAAAGAACAAGAAAAAAGAGAGAGAGAAACACCTCACTGTAAACAGGGTATGTGAAGAGCTGGCATTCATTTCCCCCTGCAGAAGGTTTTTTAGTGTGGAGTTAAACAAATGTAGGCCCTTCCTACTTTGGCTGTGCCTCCCTTAGGGAATCACCCGGGATCAGAGCCGGTTTCAGACGTTCCTGTTTTCATTTCTCATGGCTCTGCTTGAGAACTGTGTGTGCTGTCTCCTCTTTGCATGCATTTCCCAGCCAGGACGTGCCACCCTGGGCTTTACACGTTATTACACGGGATTTTTCCGGGATTTTCGGAGTTTGCTTGCGGCCACTTCGCCCCCTCCCCTCTCCCTCCTCCCCTCCTCCCCCGACCCGAGTCATCCGTTCCAACGAAGGGAAGAAACCAAACCACCGTCTTTTATAAATTGCCATGGAAACCAAGTGCCTTCAATGAAACAAGCCTGAGTTAAAACATAAAAAAAACAAACAAACAAAACAAACAAACAGAAACTAAAACAAACAAAAACGAAATATATTTAAATATATATATATATATAAAAAAAGAATAAATGTAAGGAGAATAACGGTTTCAAAAGGAAGCTTGCACTGCTAAAAAAATGTGCGTTGTGCAAACTCTGTTTTCTAAACAAACTACGGAGCCTGGGTGTGCAGGGCAAGGAGACGGAGCCGCTTCCAGAGATGGAGGGATGGATGGATGGATGGGATGGACCTCGCTTCCGGAGATGATGGATGGATGGATGGATGGGATAGACTTCGCTTCCGGAGATGATGGATGGATGGATGGATGGGATAGACTTCGCTTCCGGAGATGGATGGATGGGATAGACCTCGCTTCCGGAGATGGATGGATGGGATGGACCTCACTTCCAGAGATGGATGGATGGATGGATGGGATAGACCTCGCTTCCAGAGATGGATGGATGGGATGGACCTCGCTTCCAGAGATGGATGGATGGGATGAACCTCGCTTCTGGAGACGGATGGATAGATGGACGGATGGGATGGACCTTGCTTCCAGAGATAGATGGATGATTGGGATGGACCTCGCTTCTGGAGATGGATGGATGGGATGGATGGGATGGACCTCGCTTCCGGAGATGGATGGATGGATGGGATGGACCTCACGTCTGGAGATGATGGATGGATGGATGGGATGGACCTCAAAGCTGCTGCCCGAGCCCTCCTTTGGGATGAGGGATTCGTTGGTGTGACCTCCCAGACGGCCACGACCTTTCAGCTTCTTATCCCTTAAAAAACAGCATCCATCGGGAATGGGAATGGGAGCAGCGCTCTTGCCATCGCCGTTCTGGGTTCTCCGGTGGGTCAACCAGAGGCAGAGGCTGTTGGGACACACAAGGTGGGGAGACACGGGAGGGATTTTCCCGCTCCCACCCTCCACTGGAGGAGGGGGAGTCGTTTAGGGGGGGATTTATTCCCAGAATTCCCCCGAGGAACCGCCAAGCTCGACGCGCCGAGGGGGCTCAACGCGCCTCCTCCTCCGGGCGCTGAGCACGAGAGGTTATTATTTTTTTTTTTTGTTATCATAGCAAATTTAAAAAAAAAAAAATAATGCTATTAAAAAATTTAAAAAAAAAATCAAAATAATAAAATCCCACTTTTACAAGGAGAAAAATAAAAAAAAACCAAACCCCATGTGGGTTCCAGCCACCCCCCCCCGACACGTGCCGTTAGCCAGCCGGTTTTCCACTGCATTGTAAAAGTTCCCTCCTTCCAGCTGACAATTTGAAGACCTTTTTTTCCTTTAAATTATCTCAGCTTTTAACTTCATTTAAAAAAAAAAAAAAAAAAAAAAAAAAAAAAAAAAAAAGGACTTTCGTCTAAGGGAGAGTATTATTATTATAATTATTATTATTATTATTATTATTATTCCGTGTTCTCTCGACGCCCTAAGATCGAAAAAAAAAAAGACAAACAAACAAACCGCCTGATATGCAAATAATTGGAGTAAAACCGTGAAAACAAACAAACAAACAAACGAGGAGAATATTTGCAAACACGAGTATAAAAAGCACAACGAGATGCAGTAAAACGATGACAAGGCTTGATTTTTTTTTTTTTTTTTTTTTTTTTATTCTGTAGAGAAATGTTTGTGCAAATTCAGTAATTCAACTGAAGAGATAATTTTACAGCTGTTCAATAAAGCCTCTTTCCAGGTAAGGTATGACAAGTGGTGCGTGTGTTTGTTGAGCAGTGAGGCCCCCAAAATGGCCTGGCCTGGGCTTTCCCTTCGTCAGCTGGTGGTGTCTGAAGGTCTAATGGTCCATACTGGTGATGCTGGGGGGGCTGGAGCTTTCCCGGGATATTGGCTCCCGGCTTTGGAGGCACTTTGTGGGGGCTGGGAGATGGTGGGAGCTCTGGTTTGGATGGACTGTGGGGTCTGGAAAACCATGGGAGCTCTGAGTCTGGATGGACTGTGGGGTCTGGAAAATTGTGGGAGCTTTGAGTCTGGATGGACTGTGGGGTTTGGAAAACCATGGGAGCTCTACATCTAGGTGGACTGTGGGGTCTGGAAAATAATGGGAACTCTGAGTCTGGATGGACTGTGGGGTCTGGAAAATAATGGGAGCTCTGAGTCTGGATGGACTGTGGGGTTTGGAAAATAGTGGGAGCTCTGAGTTTGAATGGACTGTGGGGTCTGGAAAATAATGAGGTCTCTGAGTCTGGATGGACTGTGGGATCTGGAAAACCATGGGATTTCTGAGTATGGATGGATTGTGGGGTCTGGAAAACAATGGGATCTCTTGAGTCTGGATGGACTGTGGGGTCTGGAAAACCATGGGAGCTCTGAGTTTGAATGGACTGTGGGGTCTGGAAAATAATGAGGTCTCTGAGTCTGGATGGACTGTGGGATTTGACACCCTTAAAAACACAAACCACCGAATTTCCCATTGGAATCACTGGATTTTGAGGGTGGATGGCTGGCTGGAGGACCAGCTCAGGTATGGCAAGACACTGCTGCAGATTTTTGAGCAGGAGGTTGTTGTCTCATTTCTCAGGACGCATGGAATCCAAACCTGGATGTGTCTCCTCCCGCTGATGTCTTGGGAAAGCCACAGAACCGATGGATGGTCCAAGAGGCTCCACCTTTGGAAGGGTCTGGCTTTGCCCAAGGCCACTGAGAGCCCTGACAGAAGTGGATTCGTTCTCCTCTGGCATTTCTCATCCATGGGTGACCTGGGTGGCTCCTTTTCCCCTCATTTTCTGGTCGGAGCAGCACTTCAGGGATGCTCCAGGCTGGAGCCTCAGCAGGCTCTGCAGGAGATCCCACAGCTCAGAGACCTGGTCCTGCTGTGTTTTATGATGCACAACCTCACTGTCCTGAGCCTGGAATATTCCTGGACTATGGAAAAAAAAAAAAGAGTGGCTCTCTGTCAATAATTTTCACGGAATCCCAGATTCCCAGAGTGGTTTGGGTCAGAGGAGACCTTAAAGCTCATCTCGTTCCACCCCCCTGCCTCGGGAGGGGTGCTGTCCATGAAACCAGATTAGAGGAGCACGTGAAACATTCCATTTCCTTTCAAATATTTTTCCTGGTTTTCCAGAAACAGACTCCAAATAAGCTGAGCCTTCAGTGCCCGTTGCTCAGCAGGGACCAGGAGAAGGGTTTTCCCAAGCACCAAGGGCAGAGCTGGTGGTGAGGGTGTGACTCCACAGGAAGGGAGGTTTGGGAAGTGCCCTGGAATGTCCCCAGCTGTCCTGAAGATCAGGGAATGGAGATCCTGGTTGCTTGTGTAGATCCCAAGCTGAGACTCCAGGCTGGAATCCTGGTCTCTCTTTCCATGTTGATTTTTCTTTCCCTCCCTCACGTTATTTTGGATAAAGGGTTTTGATTGACAGCCAAAGACCACAAACATCTCCTTTCAGGGCAGGATAATCTGTTTGTCCTGAAAAGCCCAGGTCTTTGTGTGAAAGGGAATTTATTTCCCATCCTTATTCTGGTTTTACTCTGCCTGGGGGCAGAAGGTGAAAAGAAAAGCTGCTTTTCTCTCTCCAGTGTTGACTCAGGAGCAGCGTTATCTTCCTTCACATTCCCGGGATAAACCACTGGAAAGGGCAGTGGGATTTTACTCCAGGCCATGAATAAGAAGAACAAATTGAGATATGCATTTCCTAGTCTTGATTTTGATTTTATTTTTCATTTTTTTCGTGCAAGTGGATGCAGAATTTGTAAGATATTTGGACCAGGAATCAGACAAAGGGAGTTGGAACTGGCAGGTCTCCTGAGGAACCTGAAAACCCTCTGACTCAGTTCTGGGTTATCCCATCTGATAATGTCTCTGATGGAGCTTTAAATTGGAAATCAGATACTGAATGGTGCAAATGTGGACTGTGCAGCAACTCCAGCACTGGGATGTTGGGATCAGCAACTGGTTTGGATGGGATGGCTGGGGGAGTTTGCTGGGTGTTCCCCAAGCAGAGGGGGGTGGAGGTTTGAATGGGAAATCATGGAATTACAGAATAGTTTGGGTTGGAAGGGACTTAAAGCTCATCTGGTTCCACCCAGGGACACCTTCCACTATCCCAGGTTGCTCCAAGCCCTGTCCAAGCTGCCCTTGGGCACTTCCAGGGGTGGGGAATCCACCACCTCTCCGGGAATCCTGTGTCCCACATGGAACTATGGAACACTTGGATGTGCTGCCAACCCAGCTCTCCTCCAGCCTGGATGGGATACCAGGAGGGATAAAGGAGCACAGACTGAAAGGGAGCAGAGAGAGACCTTACAAATCACCCTCAAATGCCCAACTATGGTTGGAAGGCAGGAGCAGCTCTTGGAGAGCCCAGAAAAGGGGAGATGACCCACGTGAGGAACATGTGGACAACAAGGTCTTCACACTGAGCCCGTCTCGTCCCATCAGCCACTTTTTGGGGACTGCAACCCAAGGCTGTGCTGCTCTCAGCCCCACAGAAATCCTTGGAAATGTGCAATTTCCCCTGAATTTGGGAGAGGACCCAAAAGAGGTGGAGCTGCACCTTCCAGCCCCACCACGAGTCCTGCCCTCCACTGGTGCCAGAGCTTTCCTTCTTCACATCCAGCACTGGAACCTCTGCTCCATTCGGGGCACGATCAGGTTTTTGGGGGTGATTGGGATCTCCAAATTTTTAAAAAAATTGACCAGTTAAAGCATCAACTTCTTGTTTAAGATTTTTTTTTCTCTTTTCCCTTTGCACTGAGGAATTAAGGCAGAAGGATCAGATTTTTTTCCCCATGGAAAAAGTGGAAGAGGCTTCCCTGGGTTTATTTTCGGAGGGTTTACTCACTAGTAATGTTTTTTCATGTATTGAAGGATAATTGAAACTCTCTTCCTCCCCAAGAAGAGCTGCCATCCGTCAGAAAAATGACTTTTTAGAGCAGTTCAATAAAAATAAGATACAGTTTGGTATTTTAAGCACTCTCTGCCTCTCTGTGCTAATAAAGAGATTGGGTGCCATCTGGATTAATGCTTGGATTTTCCCATAAAACCATAAAAAGCTATAAAAAGGTTATTTTTACATTTCAAATTCTTCTTTTTTTCTTTTCTTCTTAATTTTTGTGAAAAAAAAAGCAGCGGTGCAGGAGCTTTTATGGCTCCTCCACCACAATGCCAGAGTCAGGCAGGAAAGAGGGAATTCAACCATTCCAGTATGGAATTTAGGGACCTACAGAACGTGCAGTCCTGGGACTTCCAGAGTTCTCAATTTTCTGTCACCTTTCCCTAAAGCCCTGACTGGTGTCACCCCATAAATCCCATGGGAATGTGCCTTAGGTGCCTGGGGGATTTGGGATGGGGAAGGAGGTGCTGAACTTGCTAATTAATCCATCTTAAAACCAATTTAAAGGCACAAGAGGGAGGATGTGTTTGGGCTTTGCCCTCTGCACTGGCTCCAAGGCTGTGGCAAGACCTTGCTGGGGGGATATTTGTCCTAAAAACCCAATTCTTGGTACCTGTTTAGCATCATTTATTCCTGTTTATCCCTTCCTGGTATTAAATTCCTCTCCCTTTCTACCCCCAGACCACTCCAAGTCCCCCCTTTTTTGGCTGTTTCTTTTTCCAATATCTGGGTTAGAAAAGTTAAATGTTACCAAATTAAAGCTGTCAGTAACCCAAATACAGGGAATTTGGGATTGTACACCCTGCTGTTACTTATTAAAATACTGTTCAGTTTTCCTTTTTTTATCTATCAGATTGGAGAGCTTGGGCTACAAGGTTTATATTCTGGGAAGCTGCTTGTGTTTCTTCCCCAAAAAAACCAGATCCAAAGGGTGGGAATGTGCCACCCCACTCAGCCCTGGGAGCCTCTGGAGAGCAAGGTTCAGCCACTCAGCTTTCTTTTAATAAAAACATCTTTCCCGTGGAATTTTGGAATGCTTTGGGTGGGAAGGGAACCTTCAAGCCCACCCAGTGCCACCCCCTGCCTTGGGCTTTGCTCCCAGTTAAGGTCATGGCTGACAACTGGAGGAATCTCCACCTCAATCCCTCGGGATTTGGGATCCTTGCACGGAACAAATCCTCTCCTACAGGCTGGAAAAAAAACCACACCAAGGATCACTGAGACAACTGTTCATCTCTTGACTCTTTTTTGATGGATCTGACCACAAAAGAGATGGAAGAAATTAAGAATTAACAATTAACAGCCTCGGCACCTTCTCAGGAAAGATCAGATGAGCTGCTTGCACACAGCCAACTGCAAAGGGGGGAAACCACGTGTTTGTGTCTGTAAATACCATATAAATAGCTGTAATTGTATGTATTTAATGTATATAAAGCTGAGGATTACATTTTAACAATCTCAAGCATTGTACAGAGCCCCAAACCTGCTCTCTTGTTTTACTACCACACCCGCTGTAGGTTTATTATTTTTTTTTTGTCATTGTCGTTTCTGTATCTTGGTTGAATTACAAACTGGCCTCACTTTTACCTCAAAAGGGTTTTTATGTTCTTTCTGTACATTTTATAAAGAAAAAACAAACAAACAAAAAAGAAACCACTCTGGATTTGTGGGTACCTTTTCCATTGCCAGCAGTGTTTTCTGTCTTTTCCTCCTTGTTGCTCCACTGGGGTGAGGAGTGGAGGTCAGCTGGGAAGGACTGGGTTTGATGGGGGATATTTCCCTCTGGATGTGTCCCTGCCTTCCTGAGAGATGGAAAAAAGGAGGAATTTCTCTCCTCCTTGTCCTAAGTAGGGCAAGGTTTTAATTAGGCCACGAAGAGGTTTTGCCCCCCTGTTATCTGCTGGGACAATTCCTTCCTTTGAGTGGTCCCAGCAGCCTAACAAGGTTTTATCCAGCCCTACAAACTGAGGGTCAAAATCCATTTCTTTGCCTTTCCATGATGCCTTTTTGATCCCTGGGAAGCAAACCCAGAGGAAGGTGGGTGAGGATGAGTGTGCCCTGGCAGAGCTGCTCCAGAGCTCCTCCCCACGTGGCTGGGGATGGGATGGGCACCTCCAGATCCCACCTGGACCTTGCTGCAGGATGAGCCCAGATCAACCAAGGGGGTCTCCTACGTGATCCAAGGTGGAGAATTCCCAGCTGGACCTCAGGAATTGTGGGGTTGATGCCCACTCCCTGCTGCAGGTACCACCTGGGGGTTTCTGTTCCTTGTCCAGCTCTTCTACTGAGGCTGAATCTTAATATCATGGAATGGTTGAGGTTGGAAAAGCCCTCCAAAATCACCCAGTCCAACCATCCCCAGCACTGCCAAAGCCACCACTGACCCCTGTCCCCAAGTGCCACATCCACAGGGCTTGGAAATCCCTTCAGGGATGGAGATTCCACCCCGTGCCAGGGCTGGACAGCCCCTTCCAGGAGGGAATTTTCCCAGTATCCAACCCAAAACTCCCCTGGCACAGCTGGAGGCCGTTCCCTCTCCTCCTGTCCCTTGTTCCCTGGGAGCAGAGCCCGACCCCCCCCGGCTCCCCCCTCCTGTCAGGGGGTTGCAGAGCCAGAAGGTCCCCCCTGAGCCTCCTTTGCTCCAGGCTGAGCCCCCCCAGCTCCCTCAGGGGTTCTCCAGCCCCTTCCCAGCTCCATTCCCTTCCCTGCACACGCTCCAGCCCCTCCCTGTTTTTCTTTCTGTCCCAGAACTGCCCCAGCACTGGAGGTGTCACCCCAGCAGTGCCAGCACAGGGGACAATCCCTGCCCTGCTCCTGTGCCCACCCTGCTGTGGGCACAATCCAGGGGCTAAACCTTCTCCCAGCCCTTCAGAATTTAAATCTGTTTTCACTGCAGCTGAAACGAGACCACGACCTCTGTAAATAAGAGCTCACTCTGTTATCTCGTTGTGTTCTGCAAACGCTGACATTTCCCTGCCCTTTCCCGTTCCGGTGGTTGCCTCCATCCTGCTCCTGATGAGATGTGTGACTGTCAGCTGCCAGCTGCAGAGAACACCTTCCAAATCAGGCAGGAGATGAAACTCGAGAGCTTTCAGACAAGCCTTGAGAGCTTCCAGACAAGCCTCGCTCTCCGGTGGCCTCCGAGGCAGGTGGTGACAAACAGCAACGCTCTGGAATTCGCTGCCTCCCAAAAAAAAATAAAAAAAGGAAAAGGTCTCTTTTAAAAAGAAACAGTCTCTTATTTTTCAGCTTAAAAAATCCCCCTGTGCCACTGGATCTCAGAACCTGAAGTCGTTTTTCATCCCTCTGGCAGTTGGAAGCCATTCCCTGTGTCCTGTCCCTCCAGCCCTGGAAGTGTCCAAGGCCAGGCTGGACAGGGCTTGGAGCAACCTGGGATAGAGGAAGGTGTCTGCATTTTCCCACCTTTTTCCTATGAGATCCCACAGGCAGGGACCGGCTGGGAAGCAACTGGAATGGAATGGAATGGAATGGAATGGAATGGAATGGAATGGAATGGAATGGAATGGAATGGAATGGGATAGTTTGGGTGGAAGGGACCTCAAAGCCCATCCAGTGCCACCCCCTGCCATGTGCAGGGACACCTTCCACTGGCCCAGGTTGCTCCAACCTGGCCTTGGACACTTCCAGGGATCCAGGGGCAGCCACAGCTTCTCTGGGAATTCCATTCCAGCCCCTCCCCACCCTCCCAGCCAGCAATTCCTTCCCAATCTCCCATCTCTCCCTGCCCTCTGGCAGTGGGAAGCCATTCCCTGTGTCCTGTCCCTCCATCCCTTGTCCACAGTCTCTCTCCATCTTTCCTGTAGCCCCTTCAGGTCCTGCAAGGCCACAATCAGGTCACCCCAAAGCTTCTCCTCTCCAGGCTGAACAATCCCAGCTCTCCCAGCCTTTCCTCCCAGCAGAGCTGCTCCATCCTCTGATCCTCTTGGAGCCTCCTCTGGGCTCTCTCCAGCAGCTCCATGTCCTTGTTTTCGGGTGTTCAGGGATGGGCTGAAGCACTTTATTTGTGCCACATTGACCTGTTCACCCTTCTGTGGTGGGAATTAGATCCTGGGAATTAGATCCTGGTTCTACACTGGGCCAAGAAAAGCCCCCAGGGGCACATCCCATGGGCTGGGAACACAGCCTGGTTTATACACATTGCTGGGAGAACCACAGAATCCCAGACTGGTTTGGGTTGGAAGGGACTTAAAGCTCATCTTGTTCCACCCCTTTCCACACCTCCCACTCTCCCAGGTTGCTCCAAGCCCCTTCCAACCTGATCTCAGAGTACAACAGTCACCCCCTGGATTTTTTACCTGCATTTCCACCCCAGAGGTGTTCTGCACCATTCCCTGCAGGAATCTCCCATAGGAGAGACAGCTGGAATTGTGTCTATAATGTAGCATAATATTTATTTGTGTAATAACTGTAATATAATTCCCTTTCCCCCCTATTGAGTCTTGTGTTATGCCTGGAAAACCCTCTCACACTGAAGCAAACTGGGGGGGGGCTTGGACTTGGAAATTGGATTTTTGGGGGTCTCAAACCACGACACCTCCCTCAGGGACTGAGATCTGCCCCTCACTGTCCCCACCCCACCCCGCTCCAGAAAGATCTGTGGAAGCTGCTCAACACATCTATGGAAAAATGTTGGATTTTTTTGCATTATTTTCCTAAAAAAAAACCAGCATTAAGTCTGTTGGATAGATTATAACTGATTTTTGGGAACTTTCCCTATGGGAACAGGACCATTTCAGACTAAGATCAGCTGGGACCAACCCTGACCTGTAGGATGGACTGAACACACCATGGCTGACCCTGATCAGCTGCTTGATTTTGGGGAGCTGCTGTGTTATTGCTCCCTGAAGTGGTACAACATGTCAAGCTGCCAGGACTGTCAGATTTGTCTCCCTGGGGAGTGCTTTTTATTCATGTTGGAGGGTTTTTTTTTGGCATGTTGCCTGGGTTTTTTTTTTCCATGCCAGGAGGACAGGGGTGTATTTGCAGGGATTAAAGTATTACTGGAGTGGCTCCAGGCCTTCCATAATCCCCATTATTTGCTCTAATCCCACCAGAGCACAATGGCTGCTCTCATATTCCTTAATTAGGCTGTGGAAATTAATAAAAAATAGCTCAAAAATGACATTCTGATGAGGGATCTAAATCCCAGTTTACTTGGGGGGACAGCAAAAATGTGTGTTTCTGCTGTACTCAGTAATACTTGACATTTTCAGCCTAATTCCTCGGGGAACAAGGATTACACAACCCTTCTGGGAGGGGTTTTTACCTCTCAGTCCTCTTAATAAGTCTTGGAATATGTGTCCCATTTCCAAGGGGCTTGAAGAGCAGTTGAGATCCAAATAATGATTTATTTAGTTAAAAGTGGGGTGTTTTTCTAGAAATGAGGCACCAGAAAAGGACATTTTGTTCCTGCTCCCCTGGGAGGGGGAGTCTGGAGTGAGTATTTCTTGAGGGTGGGGGAGATTTAGTGACCACCAAAAACTCCAACCAGGAAAAATGCTTGGAGAGGGAGTTGGGCTCAGGGTTCAGGTTTTGTCCCATCCCTGGAAGTATCCAAGGCCAGGTTGGAGTAACCTGGGATAGAGGAAGGTGTCTGCATTTTCCCACCTTTCTCCTATGAGATCCCACAGGCAGGGACCTGCTGGGAAGAAATTGGAATGGAATGGAATGGAATGGAATGGAATGGAATGGAATGGAATGGAATGGAATGGAATGGAATGGAATGGAATGGGATAGTTTGGGTGGGAAGGGACCTCAAAGCCCATCCAGTGCCACCCCTGCCATGGGCAGGGACACCTCACACTAGCCCAGGTTGCTCCAACCTGGCCTTGGACACTTCCAGGGATCCAGGGGCAGCCACAGATTCTCTGGGAATTCTATTCCAGGGCCTCCCCACCCTCCCAGCCAGGAATTCCTTCCCAATCTCCCATCTGTCCCTGCCCTCTGGCAGTGGGAAGCCATTCCCTGTGTCCTGTCCCTCCATCCCTTGTCCACAGTCTCTCTCCATGTTTCCTGTAGCTCCTTCAGGTCCTGCAAGGCCACAATCAGGTCACCCTGAAGCTTCTCCTCTCCAGGCTGAACAATCCCAGCTCTCCCAGCCTTTCCTCCCAGCAGAGCTGCTCCATCCTCTGATCATCCTGGAGCCTCCCTGGACTCTCTCCAGCAGCTCCACGTCCCCCCTGTGCTGTTCCCAGGGCTGGAGCAGCTCTGCAGGGGGGTCTCACCTGAGGGGCAGAGGGGCACAATCCCCAAATCTCCTTCAATACTGTTCTTCCAGTTCCCTCATGGAACATCACTGATGTTCTCCTGCACCTTTGTCTTGTTTCATTAGCCTTGATCAGACCCTTCCAAGAGTTATAACATCCTCAGACTCACTTTTCCCTGCAGGAAGCAAGAAATCAGGCAAATCCAAACCCCTGTTTTGCTTAAATGGATAAAATATTCAGAAAAACTTCCTCCTAAATGGTCTCCACTGCTGCTGGGTGGTAATTGCAGCCCATGTGCAGGCCCTGGGAGAGGCTGACTGAGGCTTAAATCCCTCTAAACCTCGTCCTAATTGGCATTA